TCCGGAAGTGAGGCAATATTCTTTCCGGACGTGAGGCAAGTGGTGAATAACAAAGTCCTCAGAAATTGGGCATATGAAGACTGAAGTCAACAAATATTAGTGTTAAATGACAGATTTAACTTGTTCTATATACAGCAATCCCTTGATTAACACGGTTAATAAATCCCCGAGTTTTACCGTGTTAAGCAAAACCGCACTAATCAAACTTGAGAATATATGGGAATAATTATAATGAATCCTCAAAAATAGCAAAGGAAAGGAAAATTATGTAGTTTGATAAAAGTGAGCAGTAGATATGGCAGCGATCTTGACCAGTTGAAGGCTAACGAGTAACTAGCCCTTTACGCACTGAATTATGTTTTGAAAGTGAAAAAACAATCTGAATTACTTTTCAGATCACGCGCAGTCTTTGTGTTAAACTGGCAGTAACGACGCGCCTACTCCGTCGAACGAGTTCACAACATGTGACGCTTCCGTCACACTTGCGGCTAGACTCCAAACATGTAATTACTCTTGGTAGAAGCTTTTATTTTCTGTGTGACGAATTCGTCACACCAGGGCTTAAAGGGCTAGAGCACCGGCATGGCGCACTTACCGGCGAACGTTGCCGAACTCGATCATTTGGAACGGGACCTCATTTAAAGAATTATTGGCTGACATTCATAAAGTAACAACATTTGGCGAATTTTTCCAAAAGTCGTAACAAAAGTAACAACATAAGATCTAATAAGCAAAAAGTAACACTTTTGTTACGAATGTAACACCTCTGGCTAGAGGCGGGAAAATGATGTGTTGTGAAAAAAAGTCACGCTAATCAAAACTGGCACCGCGTAGATTAAGGGTAGGTCGCAAATTTTTTTTCCGCGTTAATCAAAACCGCGGTATTCAAAACCGTGCTAATCAAGGGATTGCTGTATACTATTAGTGCGCTAACAGGGTTATTAGAGATTCTACGGTTAATGAAAGGTGTCAGAAATAATTTCATGATTGTAATTAATGGAAAATAGTTTTGAGTGCGAAATCTTCTATAAATAAAATATGTCTAGACATAACTGTCATCAGAAATTCCCAACATCATCTTTACATACTTTAACGCAATGCTGATTCATCGTCATGTATGTGATGAGACGTTTTGGACAAATTTACGGCCGGACTTGCGGCCATTGTCCAAATTCGGTGTACCTGGAATATCTCCCAAAGTACTGAACATAGCTCGATGAAACTTGGTACACATATTCATTATGGCCTGAAGGTGATGTCAAGCTTGTGATAATTTTTTAATATGGCCTTCACCAAATGTGCTGAAATTTGCAGTGCACCGGCCATTTCTTCCAGAGTACTGAACAGATCTGAATGGAATTTTGAATATGAATTTCTGAATACTATACGGAGATATTTAGCTCGTGAAAATTTTTTACATTTTGCCTTCGTTGGCGAGTATTTTCTCGTTTCCTCATTCGTGATTTAAACAGCAAAATAGTGCTTAAATTCGCAATGTACCAGAGATTTCTTCTAAATTACTTAAGAGATTCGAACTAAACTTTGCATATAGAAACCTAACCTCCCAACGGCAATGTTTAGCTTGTGACAATTTTTTTATTTCACCTTCTTTTGCGAGTTATACGGATGTACGGAGAAACGACCGGCATTTCTTAGGCCGATTTTTGAACTTGCATTGACCAGGAGCCATATATGTAAAGCCGTATATGGTATAACTTGCCAACGAAGGCAAAATAAAAAAAATTGTCATGAGCTAAACCTCACCGTTGGGAGGTTAGGTTTCTATATGCAAAGTTTCGTTCGAATCTGTTCTGTATTTTAGAAGAAATCTCTGGTACACTGCGAATTTAAGCACTATTTTGCTGTTTAAATCACGAATGAGGGAAAAGAGAAAAATACTTGCCAACGAAGGCAAAATGTAAAAAATTTTCATGAGCTAAACATCTCCGTTTAGTATTCAAAAATTCATATTCAAAATTTCATTCAGATCTGTTCAGTGCTCTGGAAGAAATGGCCGGTACACTGCAAATTTTGGCATGTTCTGTCATATAACTCTCGAATGAAGGCAATATTTAAAAAATTATTACGAGCTTGACAGCACCGTTAGGCATAATGAATATGTGTAATAATGAAATGTGTCATAGAAATAATTGTGCATGGGCATCATAGAATGATAGAAATAGAATGAAATGCAATTAGGTAACCTAAACTATAATTTATTTCTCCAAAAAATATGATGGTTGTCACTAAAACATTCCTTTCTGTTTCAATTATGATTTTTGATCTTACAACACTTCTCTTTAACTTCACTTCTTGTTTGTCTGTCTGTATGCTACAAATCTTATACCATCAACCGGGGCTACCTACTCGAGATGGGCGGGGTAACTCGGGACAGTCCTCCGACATGGCGTAAAACTGTTTTAGTAGCAAAACTAATTGGAATATTGCAAAACTAAATATAGTGGCATAAACCTCAACATTTTTCCTATCTATGTAGTATAAAGGAAGTTCAAAAATACTCCATTTACTACCTTTGAAAAATTCCTGAAAAAATGGTGAAAAACAATATTTTGAAAAGTTACTTCTGCTCAAATGTTTTAAAATGAAGTTTTATTCCAAGTGTCCCAAGTAGCCCCATCAAACGGGGCTACTCGGGACACTCTTTGCAGCGCATTTTCTCATTTATGGAAAAAATGCACTATGGTGTACGCCATGTTGGTCTCTCTGTCCGTTTGTCCGTGACCTCAAGTCTTTGTTGACAAGAAAATGCGCTCTCTGTCTATCTCTCACTGCAGTAAGTACTGTGTTATAATTTTTGCTTCTGGCACCTTACGAATAGCATATGGAATTTTTTGGAAAAGCCATGTGATAGCCCTTGCAAAGAGCTTTGAAATGAGCCTAAACTTGTTTATGAAATGTTTCATGGTAAGAAGTTACTTATGAATGAAAAACGTTTGAAATCGTCCCGAGTAGCCCCGGTTGACAGTAGCTTTTCTCATAACATAAGTCTCGTTTCAAGTCATTTGAGGTTTGTTTGGTTGTCATTCAGTTTATGTTTAGTATTGGTTTATTGGTCTGAATCAAATGGGAACAGTACAGTCAGTCACTCAGTCGCTAATAGTCAGTGTGTTTAGAGGGTAGAGTCTGGTAGATTTATAGGACATAAAACTAGTAGATCTATTGATGGTGTTGTGCACTGTGCTTTCTAATGTTATGTGGCTCTTCAATGTTTATAAGATCCGCATTCATGAAGTGTTGTTGTATATTGAAGCCAGCTAAATGGTCAATATTTAGCTCATTACCTTTCTTCATACAAACGTTACCAAGCTTATGAATAGACTTATCAATAATTCTTTACCCAAAAGTTCCATAGTGGTAAACACCACCTTGGTCATTCCTGAAGACAATAACTGCCCTTCTTAGCCATCCATATACTGTTATTGTTAGTAGGCTAATTACAATATAAAAAACATGTAAAAAAAGACAAAGAAGCTGAAAAACTAAAAGAAATAGAAAAATTTGTAAGAAAATAATGATTTCTGTTTTTTTCATTAGAAAAAATATATAAAACTCCCTAACCCTGATTCTTAAAAATCAAGGAAAATGACATTTAGAATTTTTTTCTAAATTTTCATGGAATAAATTGTGCGAGGGCCATAAAAATGAGTGAAATTGACCACAAGCAGGCCACAGGGGTGTTGTTGGGAAATGTGCTTTTAAATTGAGTTATAAGGTGCTCAATTTTTCATAAAAAACTGATGAAAAGTTTATGGGAATGCTGGGAAATAATCTTTTGAAAGTCCTAAATTTTTTAAAGATATGTTGGTGATCAACTTTTATCTAAGACAAGAAGAGTTGTTGGTAATAAACTTTTAACTAGGGCAAGAAGATATACTGGCAATCAACTTTCTGCTGTAGTACTCCTTTGTTATATTCACTTTCAAAATGATGCATAGTGATATTATATATTAATTAAAGCTTTTTGCACCATTTGCTGCAGAAAGATTAATGCTAGATGAATTACCTCTTGTCTAATTGTCAACAAAATTGCATTGTAAAATTACATTTAATTAATTTGGAAGCTGCAAAAGTGCAAATTAATTCAAAAAATAAAACTCAGTACTCACTGCAGTGAGTGACAGAGAGCGACAGAGAGCGCATTTTCTCATTGAGGAAAACTTGAGGTCACGGACAGACGGACGAACAGACAGATGGACAGACAGACGGACAGAGAGACAGACAGATGGACGGATGGACATGGCGAGCACAATAGTGCATTTTTTCCATAAATGAGAAAATGTGCTAAAAAGGTCATTTTAGTGTTAGAGACTTGGAAAATATGCATTTAAAAATTACTTTTTAAAGACAAAACTTCTAAAGAATAGTGTTGCTGATGTTACACATCTACTATGAATTTCTAATTTTAGTTCCATATATTAAAGAAAAATTCAAATTTTTAATATATGGAAAAAATGTAAAATTTCAAAAATTTTTATTGTGGCAATTGATACCAACATGCATTGTCTCTGACTTTACCCAAGTGTGCAAAATTTCAGGTCAATTATACAGGTAGAAGTGTGTTGAATTTGGTTATAAGATTTGTAGAAGACAAAGTTATGTTTTCAATTTTTTAATTAAAAAAATATTTTTAGTTATATATCCTGTGAATTGATTCATGCATTGTCTCCAACTTATCACAAGTGTCCAAAATTTTCGATTGATTGGAGAGATAGAAGTGTGTTAAATATTGATTATAAGATTTGTAGTGGACAGTAAAACAAACAAACAAGAAGTGAAGTTAAAGAGAAGTGTTGTAATAATAACAAGTGGAAAATTACAACCTTGGAAAGAATGAGTCCAGGAAAAAAATTATCACAAAAATTTTTGTAAAGTTGCAAATTTAATTTATGAATTCATACCAAATTTGTTATTGATGTCAACCTCCTGATTATTATGCTTGGAGACTGCGGATTGTTTATAGATTATATTGTTTAAATTTAGGGTTGGTATAACTAGATTTTTTGTGGACTCAATGTAAACTGTTACAATAATGAGCTTTTATTAATTTTTTTTCTTTTTTAATCTTCAAATTATCAGGAGGAAAAACCTGGATTCATATATTTTTTTCATAAGATTGTATATAATCTATTCAGAATGGCAATTGAGGCAGCTGATGTGCTGACACCAGTAGGTGGCACTGGTAAATTAGCTCATTCTATAAAAGTACCCCAATTTTATAAGTTTTCATCTAAAGTACTCTTGAATTATTTACAATTCAAGGGCAGGATCCCTAAACTCATTCAGCAGCAGACTCGTGGCGAGAGAGAATGTGTAAGTATGACTGCACATAGAACCAGCTCCTGGGGGCAAACAAATTATTTTTCATTTAAAATTCTTTAGAATTATCGCATAAGTTATGATATTTTTGTACAAGTAGAAAATTTTAGTATCCCTGAAACAATCTTGATCTTGATATGAACTTTGTGAACTTTACCATAAATTTATTCAGTTAATATTACGGTGTTTTCCATTATATTTTGTGTGTCTCTTGTTTGTTTAAAATCTATAAAATAAATGACCCTCAAATTATTTTTCCTTAATAATTGATGCAGTTTTTTTCCCCCTTCAGTGGATAAAGCAAGTTCGTTCTTTCCTATTGGCGCTTGTGGCCGAATTGGATATTGTGAGAGCTGCACTCAATAATGTTGGTGTGCTGGAAAAAAATCCATATTTGAGGTTGGTGTTTGAAAAGGTGCCTACGATAGAATTGTCTTTTTCTTGAAACTTCAGTTTGATAAATTTTTAAATTGAAATATCTAAAAAGACTTGGGTCTTATTTTTCAACGTTACCCATAATGCCTCTTCCCATATGCTTATAATTTTTTCCCTTACCACTTTGATGCAAATAATAGACTAATTTTATGCATCATTCTAATCATTTAATATTGTAAAACAAGTGTTAGTATCGAAACATCAAGCTTTCATCAATCATGTCTCATGAAAGTATTGAAAATTTTTTGTCAGAATTTTTTTTCAAAATTTCAATTCCTGCAACAATGGGCAGGGTTGAAACTGCCCTGGTGATAGCAGGAGACATGCTTCTCAGCTTAAGCAGGTCCCAGCGCTTGACGTCACAGTGCAAACCAGTCCTTACAATGCTGGAGGTTGAAAAGGAACTGCAGGATGAATATCAGAAACTCCTGCAAAATGCCCCTGTTAAATTGGGTCTGGTGGTGCCTCGTTGGGTGTGCATCAATACTCTGCTTATATCCACTCAGAAAGCCCGGCAGCATTTATCCGATGAAGGCTTCACTTTAAAATCATATTCTCCAAAAACTTATGAGAAATTTTTACAAAGCATTCAGGTATACAAGTGTTTTTCAACCCTTACATGCCACTCTCCTTATATGCTTTAAGAAAAATGATTATAATTGTCTTATAAATTTACATTTAGTTGATAAATTCTGTGCATTTTCATTTCTCATGTTTTTTTTTTAATTTAATCTGTTTATTTATAAAAGGAAGAATGTTGACTATTAAAATTTTTTGATTGTCTGCAGGACCTAGGAAAATGGGACTATATGGAAGACTTTCATTTTGCTGAGGTGTTGGTTTTCTCTGCCAGCACTGCTGTTATGAGCTCAACTCTTGTATCATCAGGCAAGCTTCTTCTGCAAGATAAAGTAATTCTCTATGATATTCAACTGCCCATGTGTACCTATTTTACAAAATAATGCTTAGGTGTTTTGATAACATTTTTCTGCTTACAAAAATTGTTTTTCTGTGTTTTTTTGTAATTTTTTTGGTATGGTAATTATTTGTTACTGTAAATATTCTAAATACTGAGCAGGATCGATAGTGACTTTTATTGATGAAATTTTATAAATGCATAAACTTCATTTGCATGCCCAAATTTGATTTTTTTATCAAAAGTTCATTTCCTTTGTATTCCATCATTCCCATTTTTTATTTTAGGTAGTAATTTATTAGTTATAGTCATGGTTCTTCATAAGAAGCAAAAACTTTTTAGTTTTCTGCATGAATCCTATTTTCTAATTTAATGGAATGTCATAATGGTAACAAATTTGGATGAATCAGCACATGATAACAATTTTATTGGAATGAAAATGATGGAAATTTCATTGGAATGACAAATGATGGGAATTTTTACTGGAATGTAAATGATGGACATTTTTTTGGAGTAACGAATGATAAAAATTACAAGGGAACAAGAAAATATTCCAATATGAATAAATAGAAATCAGTGATATTTCAATGGAGAAATAAGTAATGATGTTTTTTTAAGGTGAGTTGGCTGTCGCCGTTTGTGAGTGCAGTGCAGCCTGGGGATGTGGTGCTGGATGCCTGCGCCGCTCCTGGCAACAAGAGCACCGTACTGGCGGGCCTCATGGCTAACCAAGGGTAAACATATTGCAAATATAGCTGAACTTTTGTTTAGAATTTGCTTGCACTATATTTTGTCCCTCTTGACATGTTTACTGTCCAGTTAATTGCAAAGAAATTATGAGGAAATTGTATGTTCAGTGATAAGAAAATTATAAAGAAAGGTGAATTTCCTGTTTTTTATACCAATTTGCTTTTATGTAAATAACGGAAATATGTTCCGAAATGAGCTTTGAATTTAGAGACAATGTCAGTTAACTCTAAACAGGCTACCTTGGAGATAGAAGCTTAAATTGTCCGTTCAAATCAATAAATTTATTTTCAATTTAAAATTTTAAGGCAAACTTAATTTTATGTTTGAATTTGGCCTATTTTTCGCTATATATAGTATACATATACTACCTATGTACCGGTATATATTTATGCAGTGTATATATACGGTATATACATCAACGTTGCCCTCATATTACTCTTTCACTCTCAGGAAACTGATCTGCATTGAACGCGACCCTGAACGCTTCACGGTGCTTAAGAAGCGCGTGAAGCATCACGGCGTGCGCAACGTACTCTTCATCAATGAGGACTTCACGTCTGTGGACCCCAGCGAGCTTCAGGGAGTGACGACCATCTTGCTGGATCCTTCATGTAGTAATTCAGGTCAGGCACTCAATATATTTGCGTATTTGTTACAGTCCATCCGGGTGTTCAATACCATGGTTGAACTAGTATAAGGTTGACCCATGAGAAGCTCATTTTTGCAGATGTAGTTTGTTGTTCGCCTATGACGTCACTGATCTCAGTGACGTCATGGACATTAACCAATCACCGAAATGCGATCAAACCAGTCAACCAGTCTGTCATGGGAATGACAAGATTGTATGCGCTTCTCGATCTCAGTGACGTAACAAGAAAGCTGAACTGAAAGACGGAAATCCTCGTGGGTCAACCTTATATTGTTCAACCATGGTTCAATACCCTCTATTGCAGCTTAAAACTGACGCTTAAGAGGCCACTTTAAAGTCAGCTCATGATATTGTTGGTTTTATGCATTCTCTCGAAGTGAATATAACTGTGCCAATCATACTGGCCTAGTGAATCAGGGTCTACGTTTATGGAGGTGCCTAATTGGCTGTGCAAAAGCACTTTGCAGATATAGGTTCATTGTTTTTAAATCTTCTGAATTGTCGAATTTCTTAATGAACTGGAAATTAGTATTTCTACATCACGGATACATAGACTACCTACGTATGTACGTATCTATGTGATAATTGTTTCGCTTGCTGATGGACAAATAATTTATATTGAGATGCTGGTAGTTCTGGGTGGACTCAATCGTGTGGCCGCTAAAGTGTTTGCAAAATTTTTTGATTTTAAACTAGGTTTTGCTGGATTATTATTTCAGTTTCATTTTAATTCTAACAATTAAATTGAATTATTATTTCAATAGAGAATTCAAATAATTTTTTTTATTCTTGCTGCAGTTTTAGCTTGATATGGGTATCCCACTTAGAGTGAAGATTGGACAATACTTATACTCAGTAACTCAATTGACATAAATGGTGTGTGCAGGATTGGAGATGAACACTGACTCGGCGTCCGTGAGCGGCGAGCGCTACCGCAGGCTGGCTGACATGCAATTCCAGCTTCTTTCTTTTGCCCTGAGCCTCCCGTCCGTGCAGTCTGTGGTGTACTCAACCTGCTCTGTGCAGTCCATCGAGAACGAGGAGGTGGTAGCCCGCGCTCTTCAGCAGTTCACTAATTTTGAACTCGACGATCTGAGCTTGAAATTGAAAGACTGGCGTAGTTTTGGAGACGAGAATTACTCATTTGCTAAGAAGGTTTTGCGCACGCAAACATTCTATGATTTGTGCCATGGTTTCTTTGTTGCTAAATTTGTAGCTCGTCGTGTGTTTCTAAACGGAAAAACCGAGTCGGAAACTGCAGAACCAAAAGAAGAAAATTCCAAGAAGAAACCGAAAACGGTTCTTGGAGCAAAGGCTGAGAATTCGGTCAGTACAGAATGTAACTCTGATATGGATGGATTAGCAAGTAATCCATATAGCTCATTCAAAAACAGCATGAGTTTTAGTGATAGTAAGCAAAAAGTCCCTGAAGGCAGAGAGATTGAGTTGAATGACGCTTATTGTGCTGCAGAATCTCAAATACTCAATGAAGTGGGCGGCTCGACAGTTGAATGTCACATGAAGGGAGACAGCAGGAAAAGGAAGTCAAAAAAGAACATAGAATTGGAACCAATTGAAAAATTCGAAGAGTCTGGGTTGGAAAAAGAGTCCAAAAAGAAGCGCCGTAGACTAAACCCTTCTGAAGAGACATTATTACCAGCAGAGTTTGATGAAACTAAGACGACGAGTTCGAAAAAGAAACTGAAAAGCCAAATTTCAGAGGGCGATGAAAATAACGAGGTGGAAGCAGATGTTACCGCGCCTGAAAAACAGAAGAAGAAGAAGAAAAAGAGTTGTGGAGATGTGATAGAATTCGTAGCGGATGTGGAAGAAACTTTAGTTAACCCTCAACCCAAGAAAAAATCGAAGTCAAAGAGTAAAATTGACACAGAATGCGGAATTGAATCTGTAATAGAAACTTGTGAGGCAGATTTAGCCACGGGATTAAAGAAAAAGAAGAAGAAACATGAAAAACACGTGAAAAATCCAGAAGAATTTGGAGAAAAAGAAATAATTTCATGGAGCGCACTGATAAATCCTGATGTAAAACCAAAGAAGAAAAAGCGTAAGGCGGAGACAGAGGATGTTGACGATCAGGAAACACATTCCTCCGACCTGACAACGGAACACCGAGATACCTGCAGTGAAAACCAGCCTAAAAAGAAGAAAAAGAAAACCCGCCATGAGCCAAGGAACGATTCAGAAGCTTCTTAACCGCGCGTGTAGGTATATAATCCATTCCTACTTGCAGAAGAAATAGTACCGTAGTGAACTTGATAATTTATTCTGGTGACCAGTTGAATAAGTGTGAAGTCAGGGTTAGTCAAAAGTGGACAAGTAAACAATGATCTAGTTGGACGAGACTTTTTCTTATGTGAATCTGTTCCTTTGAGTGAATTTCTTCGTCTCCTATCACTGCTTTTCAACATTTTGTTCTTCGGTTATTCCATACGAATACAACATTGCATTTTTTACACAAGTTTTTTTGATCATGCTAATTGTTCATAGACATACTTCTATAGACTAAGGATACTCGGCCAATTTGGGGTAAGAAATAAACATGCGTGTGTCTGAAAATTATGGTTAATATTGTACATGGACAGAAGGATACGTTTCTGTCTGTGTGTAGGATAACGTTTCCGTAGTGGGGTGATTTTTGTCTCAGAGTAATACATCAATATTCCGGTGTGTTGGAAGGGTGACTATAAAATTACCGGATACACCAGCGCGTGAAAGTAAACATGATTATTATGTCATTTTTATGTGCGTCACAAGATGAGAATTTTCATGTGAGTCTCGAACTTTCCTAACGCTATTAATTGCTAAGCACGCACGCTTTGATTATTCAAGCCTAAACAGAATTTCTTTTAGATCACCGCAAGTTTGCTTCTGGATCTTCTTCTGATGGAAGCTTCTCTAAGCGAAGCTATTCGAACGTCGTTCCTTCGAATTTGTTTCTCCACATTTTGACACTAATTGATCTTTCATCATCCAATTGCTCTTTCGTCACTATTTATTATTCGTAGTTCAAGTTCGTCACGATAATTTTTTGTTGTCAAGTTACTCTTCTCTTTCACCTGAATAATAATTGACTTGTGTGGAGTTATCGCAAATGACGCATTGAATTTCGTTACGCTATACAGCAAACTCCGTCTTTATCAATTCCGTAACTCATCGATACCTGTCTGACATAATACATATCGTGTCAGGATATTACCTGACTTTAGTTTTTCAAGGTGAAATCACGAGACAATAAAAACAATAAATGGGCGAAAAAAAGTTTTTTATTTTTACATTTGGCAGACGTACTTTTTCTCCTAAAATTAAAAATGTGAATTTCCTTCAAATAACGAAACAGGATTTAAATGTAATAACCTGTGCAACATGCCTATGAACAGTTTCTTTTCTCATTAATATTAGTTTAATTTAAAATTTGCAACGGGATGACGGTATTCGTGGTATTGATTTTTAAATATCGGGGATCATCTACCTCGAGCTAAGTTGTTTTCTTCTTGTAAAGTTTGTGAATTAAAAAAAAATATCACAGTCAAATTTATATTTTTGCTAAAGTTTCCCTTAGAATTTAAACCGAATGATCATTTTATTCGCCAAACCATCCCACGTGCCTTATTTGTTTTCATGCTACAACTTTTGTCCGTAATTGTTGTAACTTGCGCGTACTTTTTGTACGTAATTGTTGAATTAACGCCATTGTTTTGACGTTTTGCATAATTGCAAAACGTCAAACTTTGCAGCCATAATTGTTAGCCTATTTACATAGACATATTTCAATTACTGTTGCTGATTGTTGTGTTTGTTGATCCTCTGTCTGTAGCAAATTCTCAGCTCTGAGACGAACCACCAAGACTTCAGTATGTCTTGCCGCGGACGCACACAGCTTTCGAATGAAATTTTTTCGTTGTTTTGCCATGCTTAAATTGCTAGTATTAATCTCCTTTATAACCTTAGAAAAGTCTTTAAAAAGACTAACTCCACGTATTCATAATATATTTTAGCTGTTGATGTCACAAACCAACTCATTTGCATCTGCCTCCCACGTTAATCACAAGCACGGATCACTCCTTGTTGTTGTAGACGTAGTAATTAAACACANTAACGGGAAGATTATACGAACTGTAGCGCTACAATGGGAGAGAACAATTGACTAATGTAACGGGAAGATTGTACGAACTGTAGCGCTACAATGGGAGAGAACAATTGACTAATGTAACGGGAAGATTATACGAACTGTAGCGCTACAATGGGAGAGAACAATTGACTAATGTAACGGGAAGATTATACGAACTGTAGCGCTACAATGGGAGAGAACAATTGACTAATGTAACGGGAAGATTGTACGAACTGTAGCGCTACAATGGGAGAGAACAATTGACTAATGTAGCGGGAAGATTGTACGAACTGTAGAGCTACAAATAGAGAACAATTGACTAATTTAATGGGAAGATGACCGTCACTTAATATACGTGGAGGATCAAGATTTAGACTTTGTTCATATCTTAATACGCTGCAGTCAAATAGGAGAGCGCATCACAGTTTAACCGCGTCTTCTAAATAAAGTTCCCCATCATGTGCATCCCTAAATTGATGTAAATTTTGTGATGTTTTCTCATTGATGTAAATAGAATTCCAGCATTCATCGAACAGTAAAATTATTTTTTTTCGTTGTTTGGAAAAACTAATAATAATATTGCAAAATATCTCTCAGAAACTCTGTTGTCGCCTAAAAAATTCCTTCGAAGATGCTCACTCGTCGTTCATGCATTCACGTCAAAAAATATTCACTTTATATATCACATGGAATCAGATTAATACATAATTTCACACCATGAGGCCCACAAATTTTTTCAATTGAGTGTTTAGGGATCAAGGTTTTCTTTCTTGTATCGCTCACCTCTTTCAAGTTACGCGCGAAAAGCCCGTCTTTGGCGGTAGCGACAGCCGCGCGTAACGCCCTAGCGAAGGTGTCGATGGCGAGTACGTGGCTGTCGAGCTGGTCTTGCGGCTCAGCGGCCTCACGGCGAGTGCGGAAACCGAGGTTCAGTCCGCCAGGCTGTAGCCCGCCCTGCGTGTGAAACAAGATTTGTATAATGATTAATGATATTATCCTATGGGCCTCTGCCTATTGAATTATATGATATTTAAAAGAGAACTGTTAACTACAACCTCGCAGACGTGACGTACCTGCTCAACGACGCACTTCATGACGTAGGTCGCGTCACGGACGTTGTAAGGACAAACGTCTGCAGCCCCGTTGACCTCCGGCCAGTTGTCGGACGCATCGACGGCGCCAAGCGCTTTAAAGGCTGAAGCATAGTACACGTCGTGCTCATATTTCCTGCCCAGCATGCGTGACCAGCCTGGTTTGATGTAGAGCTTGAAGTGTTTGTCCAAGTTGAAGTGCCTGAGGATGTGCAGCGTGGAGGCAGCGTCACTCTCGTACTGACATCGTCGCGGATCAAAGGGCTTGGGTTGGATGAGGAACTGCCCTCGGTATCCGATTTTTTCCTTGTACTGCACGGCCATCTTATAAAACTGCGCCAAATGCGACAAGTCCTTGAAGACTTGCCGTTGAATTAGGCTTTGGTAACCGTCTCTTGGGTGAAAGAACACAAAGTTTTCGGTGCCAAGTTTCTTCGCAGCCTCGAGTCCTCGCTTGAGCTGGGCCGATGCGTAGGCAAAGACCAAAGCGTCTGGGCTGGTCGAGGCGCCATTCATGTAGCGCGGGTGCGTGAAGAGATCGCAACCGAAGTAGAGCGGCTTGACGTTATGCTGTTTTTGTAGTTCCAACGCAAAGACCGTCATGTCGTCCAACGCGCGGGATGTTTCCTCGAAATCGTCGTAGTCTGGGCACAAGTCTCGGTCCGACACCTGGGTGCGGTAGGGTACGATTATGGTATACATTATTAAGCAAGTGGAATTTAAATTGTAGATATCCGCAAGGTACCTAAAATATTGTATAATTAAACCCAATAAAATATCTTCTATGCCAATCAGTTGTGAGTGATGCGCACTTGAAATATTTTATGGTTCATGACGATTCACTTGTGTCTGGGTAGACCGTAGGCCTACACATGTAAGAAAATTTCACGTTGTTTCTGTAATAATATTTTTGCGACAATAACGCGGAAGTCGGCATTAATAAATCACTCACGGAATAATACTTGATGCCCAACTTGCTGGCGAGGTCTACAGCGGCTTGCAGACGACGCTTGTAGTTGTCGAGGTGTCGGGACCTGTCGTCCCAAGGCCGCACGTGGGCCCAGTCCCCGTAGTAGTCGTCGGACCCTTGATACCTGCAGGAGAAAACCCTTGATACCTGTAGGAGAAAACCCTTGATACCTGCAGGAGAAAACCCTTGATACCTGTAGGAGAAAACCCTTGATACCTGCAGGAGAAAACCCTTGATACCTGTGGTCTCTTACCATCCCCTCTGTCCACTCCAACGGGTTCAAGGCATGAAGGAACGCCAGCGCTCTGAAGATCTTTCCTGATCACATCGTTCAGAGCCGAGTGTCTTGGATGTCGCCCAGCGCTGTACTTGATCAAGAAAACCCTTGATACCTGCAGGAGAAAACCCTTGATACCTGCAGGAGAAAACCCTTGATACCTGTAGGAGAAACCACCCCCCCAGTTCCGACCCCGCACTGCGTTCATTTTGTCATTAACGTGTTGAAGTTAAATATGTCATGTCGAAAACTGAGAACGTGTAACGTTCATGGAATTTCTGCAGTGACACAGTGGCTTGACTGCAGTCTGGTGTTTTAACGACTATTTTCGTTCCATTTATACCGTCAGAATTTGGGTTCGTGTGTACGTAAATTTTAATTGTATTTTTATACATTATTTTCGTATTAATCTGATTATCTAATTCGATTTAGAATTGTTGAACATCGATTTCAGACCACCGCTATAGCTAGAAGAGCTAAATCTATAAACAACATTGTGATTTAAGTTGCCGACACCCTTGAAAGGAATGAAACGTAGCTTCGGTGTTAAATTTCTTTTGGGTTTTCTTATTGTTGCTGAAACTTGTTTTTAGCCCTTATGCTATGACTTAAGTGCATTTGAACGTCTGAAAGGACTTACCAATCAACGCAATCAACGGCTCATAAACTCTCAAAGGCTGCAGCTGTTCTCACTCCATGAAATACCTGAAGGCGTTGAAGCAGCACACGGAGAAGCGAAGCCACTCCTCCATGGTTTTGCCGTGCAGGTTCTCGGACGCGTTGTAGTAGCGGTAGACTTGCGTCTCCTCTGCACCTACAAGTACCGCCTCAATATACAGCATTTTGTATCTCATGTCTAGTGCAGCATATACTCGATCCCGCTCAAAATCAGAAATATTCAACAAGTTTAATCTAAATAATTCTAATTTTTCGGTACCGCATCCTCATTTTATATAATTTAACACTATCGGGTTTCATATTTTGAATTGTGCGTCTCACCGAGAAAGTCAAGATTACGATATCTTCGTAAAGACAATCAAAAATGATGCCCGCGAACTCAACACAACAGCTTTAACCTAATATTGCTCTACAGTATGACTGAGTTTAAATCTCTGCATAAAGTCACACATTGATAATAAATGTGGTACCCTCACATGACCGTTGAATGCAACTCACCTGCATTGGGCCGGTATTCAACTTTGCCATTGTCCAAGGTGAACTTGGAAGACATTTTCTGCGAGACTGGCCGACGGCGAGGCAGCGTGGCGACTTTTGGTCACGTGTTCGAAGCAATGTTTCTGTTGATAACCTAACGAAAGGAAGGGATCGGCAAATGATGAATTTATCTTAATAGAATTCTCTAGGTTTAAATAATTTTTTTCCATGTAAAGGTATTTTTTTCATTGCAATATTTCTGTATATACTGGGATATTGCTAAGTCATTCGATGCAGCGATCAGATTTTTTTTGTAGATATTCATTGCTTGTTCTCCTATCCCGGATTCAACGCAGTAGCACAATACTGCTTTTAGTTTTGTATAATTTATTTTCCGAATGACTGCTGACAATTGAATCGTGTATCACATGAGTATTTTTTAAGGCGCCACTCGGCATCTTTCAATGTTGGATTCCATTTCAAACATAATATGAGGACTTCTTTGATATCATCCTCATGCGAACATTTCGTTGCTAATATGCGTTAAATTAATATATGCTATTATGAAATCCCCTTTCTTATGTTCCTTGAGATCCTGAAATAATAAGATATGGCCGAGGTTTTACGGCGCTATTCAACGGGACTCACCAGCGTTGCAGGGATGGCCGCGGCCTCGTGCCAGCTGTCGAGCAGTGCTCGGTTCAGACACGACAATGCTTTTATACGGACCTCACTTCACGGTCCGCAGCACGGTGGTGTCAAGTTATTGCACAGCAATAAATTTTGCTTAAGCGGAAAATGTGGTGTGCAGTAAGAATTAAAAGAGGCGATAGGGAAATTAGACGGAAATCTACGCGAAAATATATATTATTATACCAATCGATGGTTCATGCAAGAGAAGCAAAAAATCGGCTTGGCGATGAGCAAAATGCGATATGCGAGCGCGGCGAATTAACGTGAAGTGCGGGTCGAAATATGATGTACACGCTGTTGATTGTTGAACGTTGTTTGCCTACAAAATTATGGGACTCGTATGTAAATACTCAAAATTTCCATAATACTCAATTTTCATAATACTCAAATTCCCAAATACTCACCAAACTATGACAATTGGGCCGAAGTTGTAGCTTTACTGTTGATTATAATGCAAAGTTTTTTTTTGTATGCGCGATCAGTCTAGTCCTAGAGACATCTAATGCAAGTTTATTAAAATTTACGTTTTTCCTCTAACAAATTATAATTTCATTCGATAACGATAGTAAATTTAACTTTGTTGAAACGGCCAGAGTATACGTTTCAGTTCAGTGTATCGTGGAAAGCAAACTCGTCCGATCCGAGAACTCGTCACGCGGCTGACGCGGCTAAGGTGACACCTCAACCCGATATTAGTATCAAGTTATGAAACGCATGGCATGCAGTATAAATAACATTTTATTTTAAAACTGGTTAGAAAGATTATAATTTGTTAAAAAAGCTTTTCCACTACAAAATGGAGGAATAAAATTTGTAAAAAAAAACATTTCTGGACGCCCAAACCGAGAAATCACTAATCTCATCACTTGGTATAAACGTACCCTGGTACCCAATAGTTAGTTTGACACGAATAGCACATTTTTATTGAATGAACGGCTTGAATAAGTGTTGGCAAGACATGTTCTAATATCAGTGTGGATAGGTAGGTTTTCCACTATCCCTCTATTATAGTATAATATTGTGATGGCATCATTGATTATGACTCACTGTTTGGCATATCGTTCATTCTAGACATGACAGAATTTTTCCGATTATCGTAGTCTGACTTCCGATTTTGTTCTGATTAATTAAGCACCGCTTAACTCGACAATATCGACGAGAATATTTATTGGCTAGCCAAGACTCGAACCCATAAATCCGTACTCCAGCAGTTCTTTGCACCTCTCGAACACTTCGTCGTCATACTCCTCTGGTCGGCCAATAGAAGACATTTTGTGCGCTGAACACTTCAAGATTTTCAACACGTGGTGAAGATGAAAATGTCTTTGGTGATACTGCTTGAATCGGTGATCTAGTTATAATGATAAAGCACAATAAAAATATAGCGGTGTCAGCTCTGATTAGGCCAAATTGGCTGATCGTAAATTCTCTACTATTTGCCCACCTGGCTTATTTCGACCAGGAATTTTGCAGCTAATTGCGTGTTACGAGCCCCAAATTCACGCTCTAATCTTAATGATCTTTAACCACTGAGCGAATGCCCTTTCGCATTCTCACTCTCTCCCATGACTGTTGTTCTGCGCAACAACAACAACAACAACAGCTGAAGGAGTGAGTGTTGTTCTGTTATAACAGAACTCGATGCAACAATTTATAATTTTCTATGCTTGCTTCTTCAAAACGGGATGTACTAAATGTCACATAGGAGTGTACTGCATTGTAAGAAATTATATTGGTCACATTATGAAGGATTATACAGCGTTTGAGAATATTGGGTACACATCATGTTGAGTATACTGCATACTGCATAGAAAGATATACCCTTGCATGCGATTGATTTAGAAAAAATCTATCAAATGGCTTCCCATAAAATTTCTTTCCTTCGCAAGGACGAGCTCAGCACCAAAGGATGTGGCAGAAATTTAGCGCTTGCAACTTATAAAGTATATTCAGTGCATTGAATAAGTTACAGAATCATTCGATGGAAAGTATTTTACGAAGTATGATATCGGGATTGTTTGGGATTGGAATTCTTTAATTATAAAGCTGCGTTAATAAGTCACATGCTTTGCTAATAAAGGTTTAAGAAATATCACATACGTGAATAAAAAATGCTTTAATTTAATGGAAAATTTGGGCAAATTCATCTTCATCTCCTTGCAAATTTGCGGACAAGGGTCTTTTAGATTTGGACGCGGGTACAAAAAAGTTTAAACCAAGAAGAAAACATAGAAAAAAAGAATTTTAGAATAAGTTAGAAAGTCAAAGCATTTCTCATACATTTTTTTTCAAAATGTCAAGAAATTTCTTTTAAAACGAACATATGTAAAAAAAACATTTTTGTATGCATTAAATATGGATTAATTCTGGTTGGTCATACATTGCTAATGAATAATATTTTATTATTTCCATTATTAAATGTAATTTATTCTTTAAAAAATAATAAAAATAAAACATCTTGAATATTTTTATTATTCTAAACAGAAATGTTGGTAGATACTTATAATATTGCATTTGTTGTGCACTTTGAAATATTTTAAAAGTATACACTTTACCTTTTCAATTTAACCGCGTTCAAAATTTAACGCCTTCGGATAAAAAATTGAATTCAATTGACGATTCGTTGTTATTTTTACGATTTTTTATCGTAGTATAAAGAGGATGTTAAATTTATTTGAAGAGAATCATAAACACACCTATAAGCATTATTGGCTTCGATGCTTGCATCCAGATTCAGACGCGCTTATTCCGTAGTGGCCGAGGAGTACTAGTTTGCATTCAGTCAACGCCATAATGACCGTTCCTTAAATCTATGTTAGAAAATTTGATTTATAAATGAACTATAAATAATTAAAGTGGATTTTTTCCATATAGTCTCATTAATGAGTAAGTTATCTCATAGGATTCAGAGCCCTAGAGCAGTGATATTGGCACAAATTTCTGATGTCAATCTGAAGGGATAGGGTGAAGTTGTGAACTAAATCAAATGAAACGGTGAACTTGAAGAGGAAATAACAGCACTTTAAAGTTTATATCTACCATATATTATTAAATATGATGTTACTCAACATTTCAATGAACTGTAGGTACCTACAACAATTTAACAAGCATTGTGAATGTATGTAAATAAGAAGTGTAATGGTTAAAAAATATTAGTTTCTTCTAGCTATTGGTTTATAATGCCAAATTGCCAATGACTGAATGAAATGCAGGAATGACTTTCTACGCTACCAATGAGATTTATGAGACTAATAAGAGGGCTAAAACTCTCTACATTATATTCATAAAGGCTGGAATGGAAAATGTGGAAGGATTTTAGAACAATTAGAATAATACTGGGTAGAAAAATGTTCAATCTGAAATATCTGGCATAATTTTATAAAAATTACAGCCTACAGCAAGCGTACAATACAATCCATTAATCCATTTGGTCTTATAAGCGTAAAATATGCATGCAATTCCAAAGTTTGTTTACTTTGAAACGTTTTTATTGATTAATTTTGCCAAAAATAATAGAAATTAAAAGAACACAGGCAGAGGCATAGGTAAATATTTTTTAGGGGCAATTTGTAGGAAATTTAGTCTAAAACTAGTGAGGAAATTGTCTGTTCTTTACTCCACTACTGGATTTTTTGAGCTGTGTTTTTATACTAGTCTGGAAAACATAGTGACAAAGCAGAGAATTTTTTAGACTCTCCCTCAAGTTCATTTTTGAGTCCTATAAGTAGACCAGTAAAGTATCATGCATAGTGGCAAAGCAGAGAGTTTTTTAGACTCTCCCTCAAGTTCATTTTTGAGTCCTATAAGTAGACCAGTAAAGTATCATGGATACCAGCATTACTGCATTATCATACTTAAGAAATTGGTTTAAATCTTGAGTTTTTGAGGAAATTAAAAATGAACTGATTCCAAAAAAGCTCTGGTTTGCCAATTGCCACTATGCTGGAAAAGTCCTATTTTTGTCTGAAATATCGCGGCTCTAATATCATATAATTTCAGTAGGTATGAAATGTTGTGGCTCGAATGTCATAAATTTTTGTTTGATTAAAAAATCGCGGTTTGCACTTCGCAAACATGTCATTTCATAAAATTTTCAACTTCCGCAATCCGCATTGCTTTACCGTTTCCGGCTTCCGCCAAAAATATCTTGCAGAAAAAACATAAACATCGTAATGTTAGAATGTATATTAACACGTGCTGAACTTACAGTAGAGACAAATTTTATTGTTGCCGTTTGACTGTTTAAGGGTAAAATTAGAGATTTGGGGTAACACGTGCATAAACTTTGTAGATAAATTTGCATTCGCACCTCGTAAATGGCTTTTCATGGCCGAGATATGGAATTCACGGCTCGGTGAAATAGAATCACGGCTCGTAGAAATGGAATCACGGCTGGCAAATCCATAAAACCACGGCTCGAAAAATTCAGTCGCGGCTCGCCAAGTAGATATATTCCATACTAGTTTTTATAGATTAGCAATTTGTGATTCCATTTCTTTGAGCTGTGAATTTCATATCCTGGCCAGGAAGAGCCATTTACAAGCCGCAAACTCATTTGCAAAGTCATGTAGGTACAGACTGTACAGTATTGTAGCCTACCCTGTACACGTTACCAGGCCATGATTGGAATTTTCCTACCTGTTTCTGTAATCTCATGGTTTTGGCGCGACAAGTTTTTAATACATTAGGAAACTTGTGGCCTGAGCGTGCACTTTTGCCCGATAGGAAAAAATGGGATATCAAACAAAGTGACACAAACTAGTACGGTATACCTACGTCTGTTTACCTTTATGGACCACATTTTTTAAAGCAAGCAAAAAAATTTTTTTCTGTAGTTTCTTGTTAATATGGTGACTAAGTGGGTTAAAGATGAATTTAATATATTGAAAATTGTTTATTGAAAAAAAAATGTAAAGGAGACATTTAAGTCCACTTGGTCTTACGAGACTAGAACATCGAAAGCGACCGTACAATACAATCCATTTGGTCTTATAAGCGTAAAATATGCATGCAATTCCAAAGTTTGTTTACTTTGAAACGTTTTTATTGATTGATTTTGCCGAAAATAATAGAAATTACAAGAAATTGGAAAAAAATATTGTATTTTGGCCAAAAAATACCTCATCCAAGATGAAATTTTGCAAAGCAATTTTGTGTTTTTTTTTGCAGCAAAGGTGAACTTTGCATTTCATGCAGTACATGTGGATGCGTCCTGTGCATTTAGGAAGTTTGCACATTCCCCTTTTTTCATTAATCTCGGAGAGGTGAGTGAGGTGACCGACCCCATCTTTCCGAAGTGACTGACTAGGAATTGGTTTTGAGGCATGGCCACTTGCTTTCTTCTTAGCAAAGTCGGACTGCACAGTTTCCTCAGTTGGTCGCCCTCTTTTCTTCACTACATCTTGACCAACAAACATGAGTGAATCAGCAAGATTCAGCTTGAATTCACAGAGTGAAGTCAGGTGCCACCGTGCCAGTATGGAGTGTTTAGTTTCTTTTCCACTCTGTGTCCCAGAAGCCAGCTGTTCACGACAGCCATATCAAGCATGTGGAAGATCAATCTCATGTAGTACTTATTAGATCTGAAACTCATTCTATAGTATGACATCATCTGGTCATGAAGGTCGACTCCACCCATGTGCTTATTATAGGTCAATACGATGTTTGGGATTGAGTATTTGTATACTCTCGTTTTTTCTTGTCGAATCTCCTGACTTCAGTTACAGGATGTGATGTCACAAAACTGGACAATAGACAAACAGACCGGCTGTCATTCCATTTTACAGCAGTGATAGCACTACTTCCTGCTTGTGTTTTGTGCTCATCAAAGGCACCACGATTGAGTTTTCATAGCTGCTTGTCTATGAATTTCAATCCAGCCAATCTGCGTTCCTGTACGGTACCACATGCCCAAATCTTCCTAGTGGCAAGGTGCTCTACTAATTTCACCGATGAAAACCAGTTGTCAAAATAGAGTTTATAGTGTCTTCCGTCAGGAATGCACTCGGCAAGCTGAAGAACAGAGTTTGCGCTTGCACCAAGGTCAGGAATTCCGGAGCGTGCAACCGGAAGAATTTTGCCAACGTAGGGAATGAAGTCGTACACCATACCAGAGCTACCAGCTAAGACGAAAATCTTATAGCCCCATTTTGATGGTTTTTTGGGAATGTATTGCTTCAGTGAAGAAGCTCCTTTGAAGGGAACCATTTGTTTGTCCACAGCTAGATGTTCTTCCATTGGTATTTTTTTTAATTTTTTGTGTAATGCATTCAAAAGAAATCTCACCTTCGCTAGCTTGTCCATTGAATCTAAAGTGTCATTGTATACAAGATGAAGATTAGCTTTGATATCTTCCCACCTTTTGCGAGACATTACGGAAGATATCTTTTCATTCAAGGAATATTTTGCCCAATGAAGCCGTGTATGCATCATCCTGGTAATAGACATTTGCATGCTTATCCCCATCCACTGCGATAATTCTAATGGGGTAAGGCACATCGACTCGCAGGTTTTCTTGAAGAAAAAAAGTTTTTTGTACTGAAGCCTGCAAAGGATTCTGAAAAACAAAAAATATGATGAGCACACTACAATAATTTGATCCCTAGGCCTGTGTACAGAGATGTCAAATAGGTAAACTCAACTAATGCGATATCTGTCCATGTTATGAGAAGTTATTACTAGGGTTACTGAATATTGGCTGCATAATATATATGCCTTCAAAAAAAACACACGATTAAAGTAAATCCCGTGAATGAAAGCAAGTAGATACGTATTTAGGGAAGCTTATAAAAAATTCCCGCACCTCCATAGCACCATAAATAAATTAAATATATGAGAATTTTTTTACGAAAACTGTGCCAGATAATTTATAGATTCCATGTTTTGATGATAAAAACATTCGGAAAGGCAGTAAATCAAAGAATAGTAATGCAAACACAATTATTTTGCATAACAACTCCTTACTTGTATGCTCATAGGACTAACTTGACTCACCGGTCGCGTTTCAAACAGAGCAGTTGTAAGTCCAACTGTACTGAGCGGTCGCCTTTGGAAACATGGTAAAATATATGGTATATAATTGTTATTTTGACAATAAATTCTGCATGTGCACTCCCTATAGCACTATAACAAACATAGAATTATCTCTAGCCTACAACTCACCCGTGTTTCCCGCCATGGTCCAATTAAGATCACGTAAGTCCAGGAAATGAATCGCACCACAGCTTCTCAACAAGTTCAGTGCTGTACTGCGTAGTTGGCGGCATGGAGCAGAGTTGCACCACTAAAACGAAACAGGGACTCGTAACAAACGCGTTCAAAGCTACTGGCGTTAAATTCTGGTCACAATATTAATACTGCAGAGCATGTTTGAAAGGCGACCGTACGGTACACCTGGGCCGTAAAGGGTTAATGAACTCCGCAGGATGTTTAGGCTGCTAAAATTGTCACTAATTCTGCCGGAAGCTTAAAATGTTGATATAATTCTAACTCAACTCTGTCACGCAATCAGGGAAACAAAATTTGCAGAAAGTTCCAAGCAAGAAGGAATGAGTGACAAGAGTCAGCACTCAGCTGAGCTGAATACCAGATGTGTCCCGCAAACCACAGCTGGTGCAATCATAGTGGCAATTGGCAAACCAGTGATTTTTTAGAATTGGTTCATTTTTAATTTTCTCATTTACTCAATATTTACACCAATATCTTATGTATGATGATGTTGGTAACTTGGTATCCAGGATACTTTACTGGTTTACTTGTAAGACTCGAAATTGAACTTGAAGGGGAGAGTCTAAAAAACTCTCTGCTTTGCCACTATGGCCATGCAGTAACTACTAACTACTAGACCTGGCACGATGTTCATGCTTGTCGTAGAGCTTGAGAAATAATCTTATGTGAATGCAAACAATGCTTAAATGACTGGCTGTGCTCACCACAGCAAAAATACTACTTGGCAACTTTGCACTTGAACTTGAATCTACCAAGAGATGAGGTTGCCTTTATTTACTACCATAAAATGGGGTAACTTAGACCACTTTTTTTTTAAATTATGCCATTTTTTTAATAGCTAAATTAAATTTGAATTGAAACATGCAAAATACAGGTCTATACTCTAGCTTCACTCACCATAAATTGCTGGCTCCTGCCTCTCGTAGTCTTTATGTAATTTCAAAAAAAGTGATGGTCTTTGGTACCGCAGCTCTTGGGGTATCTTAGACCGGGTGGTAAAATCAATTATATTTTTTGGTAAAATAACTCCAAATAACTCCAGGTTTTGGTGCATTGTAGTAGAACTCTTCTAGTTACATATGCAAATGACAAACTTTAGGAAAGTGTCATAGTTTGCAAATGAGGGGCGCTGCCCCATAATGAGGGAAATGTGACTACCTAATGGCAGCCCTGATGGGTTAATATTGACTGGCTTGGAAATTAAGTTAAAATTACCATATATAAGACTCTGTAGAGTCTGAAACATAAAGAAAAAACATAAATAGGCTATCAAACATAAAATATGTTATATATGGTAATTTTATATTAACTTCCAAGCCGGTCTATGTGGGGTTGCATTAGGTGGACTAAGTTTCCCCATTTGGGGGCAGCCCCCATCATTTGTAAACTATGACACTTTCCTAAAATTTGTCATTTGCATATGTAACTAGAGGAGTTCTACTACAATGCATCAAAACCTGGAGTTATTTACCCAAAAAAATAAAAAAATTGGAGGGGGTACTCTAACAGGCTTTAAATAATAGCTTTTTTTCATGGGTCACATTTTTAATTTTTTAACCTATTAGATATGCAAACTTTTTAAATCTTTCTATTGTGTTATGTAGCCTCAGTATTAGGCCTTTAATGCGCATTGACAAAATTTTTCTATGTCAAATAGTTTTTGAGTTTTAGGAGTTTTTGTTAAAAAAACAAAAAGTGGTCCAAGTTACCCCATTTTATGGTATATAAGAGGTAATTAATCTGGCGGTTATCTCGTGGTTCTGGAAATGGCAGAAAAGCTCTAGTTGCAGCCCTAAAGGTAGATGTCTTCCATGCTTGTGTAGTTGTGTTACCCTAAATATCTAATTTTACCCTTAACCCCAGATACAGTAAGAAGAAAATTTGTCCTTACTTTTGAGGCAACTGAACATGTATATAATAAAATAGTCTGACGAGGCTTAATCATGCAATCTCCAACAAAATGTTTTGGGTTGACTTGTTATGCAGAATATTTTGGTAGGAGCATAATACTAACTACTAAATACTGCGGAAGATGAAAATTTTGTGAAATGATGTTTTTGTGAACTGTGTTTGATTTCTTCAATCAAACAATAATACACATTTAAAAATTACTTTTCAAAGACAACACTTCTATAGAATCTAGTGTCTTTAATGTTACACATATACTATGAATTTCTAATTTTATTTTCAAACATTGAAGAAAAAAATTAATTTCACATTTTTTATTATCTATAAATTTTGTAAATTTTTACAATTATTTATTCTATCAACTGATTCAAACATTGTTTCTGACTTTATGGGAGTGTGCAAAATTTCAAATCGATTGAACAGGTAGAAGTGTGTCAAATGTTGATTATAAGATTTGTTGCAGACATACAAACAAACAAGCAAGAAGTGAAGTTAAAGCGAAGTGTTGTAAAAATAACTTGCATTAGATCCACGAGATTTCATATCTACAGAAATTATATGATATCAGAGCCATGATATTTCAGAAATAATATGCATTTAAAAATTACTTTCTAAAGGCAACACTTTTAAAAAAGCCAGTCCCTCCAATGTGACACATGCACAATGCAATGAATTTCTAATTTTTTTTCATATATTGAAAAAATAATTTTAAATTTTTATCATCATTGAACAAAATTAAATGTTCAAAACTATTTATTCTGTCAATTGATTCATGCATTTTCTCCAACTTTAAGCAATTGTGCAAAATTTCAGATTGATTGGACAGGGATAAGTGTGTTAAAAATTGATTATAAGATTTGTAGCAGACAAACAAACAGACAAGAAGTGAAGTTAGAGAGAAGTGTTGTAATAATAAAATTACTGGAAAGCTCTAGTTGTTGATACATTACATGCCTGGAGCTTGGGTTGTATTAAAGTTGAACTGCTCAAGTTGCAAAAATTCATGCACCAAAATATCTGCAATGTTGGCTTCAAAATTTACTTTCAGACCAAAATACATGACTTGGAAGTAGCAAGATTTCATACCCATCAAAACAATACAATTTACAGCTCAAATATTTTAGTCTAAAAGTCTTATTTTTACTAGATAGATAGCATCTTCAGACCAGGGTTGGCAATGATTAAATCAAAATGATTAAATCATGTGATTAAATCACTTGATTTTTTTATAAAAAAATCATGATTTTTTTGATTTTTTCGATTTTTTTGATTTTTTTGATTTTTTCATATATTTAAATATATTGAGTGGCAGTCTTTAATTTATATTGAGGTATTGTTATTCATGGTTTAGTATAAATGTACTATAAATGACAAATTGGTATATAAACTTGTTGCCTTTTGTGTGTATTAGGTTCCAATAAATTGAATGTTTTTGGTACAGAGGCATCATGTGTGCAATACATTGTACATAGCTAGCAGCTTAGCTAATTCTTATAAGGCAATAAGTAGTCTTTAACTATTTGACTATTTGTTATATATTGATTACAATATACAATTTAAATGTGTTAGCTAGTTTATACAGGGTGGGGCAGAACTGATTGAACAGTTTTGTTAATTGTTTACCCAAAAATCCCTAAGTGGTAAACACCACCTTGGCCTGTTGGCCATTATTGAAGGCAATAAGTGCCCTTTTTAGCCATCCATTATGATCCATATACTGTTATTGTCAGTAGGCTAATTGCAACATAAAAAATAACACATCAAAAAGACAAAAAAGTTGAAAAAATCAAATAAATCAAAAAAATCATGAAAAAATCAAAAAAATCATTGATTTTTGATTTTTTTGATTTTTTTTAAAAAAATCAAAAAAATCGCCAACCCTGCTTCAGACATACAATATAGTATTTGGCATGTTTTGACTTCAAAATCATGAATTTTAGTTTGAAGGAGAACATCGTGGGTGGGATGGTGGCAAACAAGGGATTTTTTGGCATCAATTCAATTCTTATTTTCAGACCTATGTATTCAACTCCTATTAGCAAATTTGTTCAAAGACAATTTTTAATTTGTGCTTGTTTGTTTTCCTTGTCAAAAAGTAGGTAATAGAAAAGGAATTTTAGGGACAAGAGTTAATAAAATTAGCAGCCATAAAAAAAGGCTGAGGTAGAACTTGTGTTTTGATATGTAAATCCAATTTTGATGTCATGGACTCACATTTGTATTACACTCTTTTCATCAAACCTTCAATTAATCTAATCAAACACTTGAAATGCCAATGAAAACATTTCACTCTACCTCAGAGGCAATTTAGCACCTTCCTTTGGTTATTGTTGAATCATTGCTATTGTTGAATCAAGAACATTCATAAAAATTTGCAAAAATTGTAGGTGTGGAAATTCTGAATAGGAGCATTATACTGAAATGTGAGATTTTTTTTTTTTTTGTAATGACCTATTTCAAATGTCTGGCCCAAATTATGCAACTTTAAAACCCCTGGATTTTCAATGCTCAAATATCATGTGATTTTGGAGTTATTTTGCTTTTTTCAGTAGAAAGTATGAGCTGTCCAATCTTGCCTCCAAAATGTTTTTGTTGACACTCTAAAAGTGATCTTGTACTACTGCAAATTACTGCAACTTTGACAGAAACAATGGCAATGTTATCACTTGTTAAATTTCCCTTGAATTTATAAATAATTTTGTTGCAATTTTAGAGGTAAAATTAAGATTTAGTATAGAAAATATGGATTGACAAATTGGTTGATGGCTCAAAACTTGTTTTCTTCAGCCTGGAAAGCAAATTCAAGGTTACCAAAGTGAACTCATAACTTAATTTCTTTTCATGCCTGCAAGATCAATTGACTTGCAGTTCTAAAAAATACTTAGAAATACTTTTTTAAAAAACACATTTTTCTTGTGGACTAAAAAGTAGAAAATAAATTATGGCTCGCCCCTGCGCAGCAGAACCAAACGTTGCCAGAACATGGACAAGATGTGTATCAAACCTACGCATCCACTAGTATATTGATTTGACCATACAATTTTATTATGAATCCATTTTTTTCTGCTGGTTCCAAATGGAACCGCTCGGCATTAATGGGTTAACAACAAACAAACGCGAAGCTAAGCTAAGAAAAACGTGTTAAAATGTCAGTAAAATCGGTACAGTTTTACTAATGTTTCTGCTTGAAAGACAAATAATGAATAAATTGGCATTCTGCAGAATCTGTTAAAATGTTGATTGCCAAATTCTGAAACAATGTCAGTCTGAATCTTCTTGGGAAGGGTATTATTTGAACAAGAAATGCATGCTAAAAATGCCAAAAATATCTTGGGTGCAATGCAACCAATAACCTATGAGAATCTATGTAAAATTCAAATGTTCATTTGGCTTAAAATTATTAAATATAATTTTTTCATGTGCTGAAGTTACAAAGCATAGTAACAATTTTTTTTCATTTTCTTAGCAGTTGAAAGGCTGCTTCAAGATTCTGTGCTATCAATCCAATTTGTTTGTGTACTGTCAATTATATCTCTTTCAAGTGTCATTAATACTGCATTTGTAATTTCACAGGAGGAGCTAGGGAAGCCTCCACTAGGAACAATGAACTGTAATGTAAATGGGGAGCTGGCCTCCACTGAGGAGGTACCAGCTTGTGAGGGTGTGGAGGACTCGGGTGTTGTTGAGGTGATGGCATCACCAGACTCAGACGGTCCCTTCACGGAGGAGATGATCAACCAAGTGATCACAATGCTACAGACTGAAGGCCAAATCACTCCTGAAACCCACACAGTCATTGTTCACACAAACAATGGCACTACTCTCAAAGTTGTGAGTCTTATTTACTAAACTAAATTTTTGACTCCCTATTATGTTACTGTAATGTAATACGATTCTATAGTTGAGATGTGAGTCATCACATATGAGCTCACAGAGGCTTGCATTGAGGTATTCCTCTACTGAGGTCCTATTGTAGCAATCATTTTTGTGGGGTTGGCGAGTTGAGTTGCTCTCACTATGGCTTCAAGAAGCCGTTCTTTATTGCAGCCATTCATTAATTTCTTTGTACAATGCTGGCTGTTGCTTCTTGTCTACTTGCTGCCAGTGACATGTCTGATCAAAATTAATTATTTTAGCTAGGTATGTATTATATCTGCCTTGAAAATTTAGAACACAATGTGTCCGTTACTGATTATTTTTATTATTTCAGCAACTGCAACAAGTGGATGGCACTGAACTAGAGAATGACAACATAGAAGAGCTTGCTCCTGATGCTGTGGCCACTGAAGACGATCAGCTTGTTTACGTTGGGCAAGCAGGGGAGGAATATCAAACAGATCTCAGTGGTCATCACCACCACCTACAGCAACAACAGTACGCTGCTGCCACCACTACTTCATCTGGTGCTACACTTCAGATTCTTGAACCACAGCAGCAGATATCACAGCATCAGCATGTCCTACACAATGGAAACCAATTTATGACGGTTGCGGCTGGCCACGAACAACACTTGATTGGTCATGAACCAGTAACCTCAGTTGAATATAAAGCAGGAGTCACTGAGGAAGTGGGTATTCCTGCATCTCTGATGTCTAATGTTGCTGAACAAGTTCTTCAAGCGGCCACTTTGATGGATGGTGGGTACAAAAATGCCTCTACAGTCGTTGCCACTAACAGTAATACTGGCATGGTCATGTCTAATGATATCATCACAACAGCAGACGGAGTTACATTTCAGCAACAACCAATTGATCTGAATGGTGATATTAATGCATTCCCGCAAAGCCTGGAAAATGGAGTCTCATGGTCTATTGGCACTCAGCAGTTGCAATCGGTTTACAGCACACCTGTGGTTAAAGGCAACCTTCATCAAGTGAATAGTGTGCCTGTGGTCAGCCAAGATAGACATTCTGTGTTCAAAAGTAATAAAATAAATCATTCTACTCAGTACACTACATCCAATTGTACGCAGCAAGCTGATAATTATCTGGACAATAATGATGTTAGAAGCCCTGCAAATTCAAGTTCATTCAATGTGAGACGGGCTCAGAGTAAACCTGTCAAAGCCCATCACACAATAGAAGAAAATGTGATCAGAATTTTCATTGATACGGGCCGCAACGACGTGCATCAAGTCAACAATCTCCCTTCAGACGTCATAAGAATATCCACAACTACAGGCTTGCCCAAGATCCGCTCAGCCAAGTTTGTGAGGTGCCCTGCATGTGTTATGCAGCTGTCGTCTGAGGCTGCACTGCTTCAGCATATGCGCCATGGCTGCCCAGCCTCCAGAAAAAAAAGAACAAGTTACGAGTGTACCTACTGTTCGGCTAAGTTTTCTTCAAAAGTGAGAACTGTGGAGCATTTAAAAGTTTGTACAATGCGCACGCAAGTTCGATCCATCAGTAAAAACCAGTCTGTTGGGTCTGGTTCTGTCACTGGCAGGGTGATGAACAGAAAACCAACAACACAAACTGTTGAGGTGGAGATCAACAGTGATGAGGACGAGGCCAACAATAATCGTGATGAGGAGAACATTGTCTATGATGATGATGATGACATTGACATGGACCTTGCAGCTGATAATGAGGACTATGAGACACAGATGTCTAAAGTATCGCAGAAACACCTGGGCCCTATCCTTGTAGGTGGCAAGTTCAAGTGTCGCGACTGTGACCGCACTTTCAATAAAGATAGTCAGTACAATAGACATATTGGGGCATGCACCAATGCTCCCCTCAATGCCTCAAGAATAGATGACCCAGAACCCATTCCTGTGCCTGAAAGGAAACCAAGTGGCATGCCAGAGAAGAAGCGGGGCAGACCTCGGAAAGTTTATCCTGATGGGAAGTCAGTTGCTGCTAATAAAGTTAAACCTGCTTCTAGCGTTAAGGCCTACAGCAAAGCAGTGGCTCGGCCATCTCATGATGCTGGCAAGGATGACCTTTCTGATCTTGACTGGGATTTCATGGCTGCTCCCAAGAAACCCAAAATCAGTGATCGCGGTGCGGGTAAGAAGTCTAATATTATGCAGGTGCTGAAGCAAAATTTAGGTGATGAAGATTTTGTTGATGGCAGCAAAGATTTGAGCGAGAGCTTTTTGCAATGCTTGGATGGTAGTCTCACTAATGAAGGCGACAGCAGTAAAGGCTGCAGTCCAAGCAAGTCGGCTAGCGCCGTGTGTGGCTTATGTGTACGCCATATGAACTCGGCTGATGAACTTGCAATGCACATAGGAACCGTCCACGCCAAAGACATCGTCAACATGCACGCCATCTTGACCAATAACACAGATCTCACAACACACAAATGTTCCATGTGTGACCTGCATTTTGTATCTGCTGAAAGTGTACGAGAACACATCATAGCCAAACATCTTCCACAGCTCAAGGACAGCTACAGAAGTCTGATAGTGAACAGTTTGGATTTACCGTGTCCGTGGTGCGACTATAAGAGCATGACAAAAGAACTTTTTCAGCAACATTTAGCTTCTGAGCACTCGCAGCATTTCCCAGAGGCGGCTCTTAATGCCCCTGTTCTCAAACCGGAGGAAATTTCACACCAGTCTTTGAAAAGTGCTGCCTTGAGCTTGAAGGAGCCACACCAAGAGCCACTGGCCTTGCGTCTCTGCCAGAAGTGTGGGCTGGCCATCAGTTCACGAGCTAAACTCGAGGAGCATCTCAAGTCCTGCAAAACTGATATGTCATCAGGGCTCCACAAGTGTGTGTTCCCTGACTGCCCTGCACCTGCCTTCGACTCACTGGCGCTACTCATAGCGCACACTGAAGAAGTAAATATTAAATATTGTCTCACTTTCGTCACTTTGGCTCACTTTCGTTTATCCATATTTTTTCATTTTTTTTGTTTAACAAGAAATATTACTGTCCCTGTATGTTAATCCTGTCTAGTAAATTTTATGTTAAATGCCCATATTTCTATACCTGTCGTTCATCAGGCTTGATCTCATTCATTTTGTAAATTTTCCCTAGAACTGAAATAGGCCTGAATTAATGCTACTTAAATAATGTAATCAGTTATCAAGTTATCATTTAAAAAGCGTTTGTACAATTTCAGGGTTCAATTTCTTACTAGTGTATAACACCAACTACGGTTTGCCTAGCTTGATGTTCTCTCCTACTCCTGCTTTCCCTAATCTCAAAGTTCTCTGCAGGAACATGTCAGTCTCTAGTATGCAATGGAACAATATCGTTGTCACTGAGATGATGAAATGTATCTATTGTAACACCCCGTGCTATTGCAGGAGCATTGCGTGCCTGAAGGCTGTGAGCACCGTCTCTTCCCGAACATGTCTCTGTTTACGACATGGCTGGAGCACGAGGAGCGCGTCACAGAGCAGAAGTACGTGAAGGCGACAAGCAGACTGCGGGGCGGCTGCTGTTACTCCACCTACTTGTGTCCTAACTACAACAGCCTCGTGAGTCTGCTGCCCAACTATTAGCTAGAAATCATTCTTGTTTTTAAAATGGATTTGTATACAAGTTCAAATTTGTGAATTATGCACTGCAGACTTTTAAAAGTTTTTTCTACAATATTATGCGTGGGAATAATTGGCCGTCCAAAGAAAAGATTTAATGGGATTTTCCTTTCAAATTACTTAGTTACAATTTTGTTGTGCGTATTTGTAAAGATTGTTTCATATTTTAGACGGTTTTAAACCAACATTCACGGACTTGATAACACCATAAACAAATAAAGGTATAAGTTGATGACATTATTCCAAGTATTTATACAGTCAACAACCAGATTTCTTGAAGTCTTATTTTTTGGTGATGTTGCTCAAGGTACAAGCAAGACAATTAGTCGGGAAGATTGCAGGATAGCAGGGACCATACAAACACTTCACTGTTTGGATGTTAGAGTGCGATTGGCATTCTAACCTGTTAGCTCTATGGCAATAGCTCTATGTTGTGACGGGGTGATACCACTTAAAAGGAAACCCATTCTAATTTCACAATAGATATAAAATTTTACGGGATAGGTTAATTTTTTATAAGTTGATATTCTACAGTTCATTATTGCCAGGAGATTTTTGCCCCGAGGTATTTGAAGTGATAGGCATTCGCCAGTTAAGTTCTCCCTCAACTGAGTGTTGCTGTGTGCAGGATAAGCGATCAAGCGCCACCTGCTTTGCGCGACTGCACGTCAGAACTCGCTGGTGTCGTGCCAAGTTTGAGTGAGTGGAACCCTCCTCATGTCAAGGCTTGCATTCTCCAAGCTTGATTAATATTATCTCCTCTGAATGATGGAATATTATAATATATTTAGTTATTACTCGGTATAAATCTTTATCTTCCACTTTTATATATTTGTTTACTTTTGTATGAACATTTGTTGGTTAGTTTGGTGAATGTCGCGGAAGAGAAATTTGATTTATTTGCCGGGAAATGTTGGTTACTCAGTCGCTTCTTAATTTGCATTAAAATCTGAAGCTTGCATTCCTGGATGCTTTATTTGATGATTGTTTTCTGTTATAATAGGATAAAAAACCTGTTTTAATTTGAATAGAATTTAGCAGTATTAAAATTTTGCTAGGTATTGATGGAGATCTTTCCTTTGTGACACATGTGTGAAGTCCTTGTTTCATCTCAAGCAAATGTATGAATCAATGCACTGTATGGCTAGCATGACGAGCCGTACTGACGTTTTGTTTTGCTTGCAGTTACTGCGGTAGGACAGAAGTGATGTTCTATAAAGAGCATCACCATCCTAAAGACGATGATGCAAAGTCTGACATCATCAGCGCCAGCAAAGAGCTTGAGGTGAGACCCTTTATTGCTCATTATACTATTTAAATTTCAAATACAATTAATTGGTTTTCTTCGACTTTGTTTTTCGAAGTCAACTTGGGGAAAGAAAGTTTATTCCAAGACTTCAGTAGCAAAAATTGTGGAATAGAAGAATTACGTACTTCAATGCACCGCTTACTAACGTATGGAAATGGTACACTTTGGTGCTCCCTCATAACGCATTATTAGTGCAGGATGTGATTCAAATCTTTCTGCTAATGAAGGCCTATGAGACGCCTATGCCGTCATAAAGCCGGTCACTCTGAAATCGTTTGTTTTTGTGGAGTTTCTTTCAATGTTTTGGTTTTTGTTGAGTAAAAAATGATGAGGAAAAATAGATATCTCGAAGTTACTTCTAGTTTTCACCTGTGTAGTTGAACATTATTTTGATTTGTTCGGCTTAGTTTTGCTGAATATTGTGATCCTATCCTATAGTGTGATCACTAAAATGAGAGTTGACTTGTCTTTTGACTAGAAATATTTTATCTTTGTGTCATCATATTATTCTCATACGTTTAATTCTTCCAGGAGCGCTTCAGAGCATCCAATCAATCTGCGGCTAATGATGGTAAGTTTCATGGTGAATGCATTAAAACGTTCATCAAGTTCTGCGTTAAAGAATCTCGATATTCTTTGTTATGCTGCATTGATCGGTGCTTTAATGAGGCGTTACTTTTGAGCTTGGGTTCTAGTATTATAGAGCCTGTCTGCTCTAAAATTTTACATGTCATTCTTTTTTTTCTAGTAGCAATTCAGCTTCTATTTCATTCAGCTTACATAATGATATACTTTTTCTACAACATTTCCACACTGGCGAGAATTCTGTGCTAGCTGTAGGTCAGAACGATGCCGTAGTAGGCTACTTCACATCGACTCGTTACACTTTCAGATCACTCAGGCATTCAATAGGGAGATGTTTTCACTCATATAGTGAAGCAAATAATTCATAACAGTTCCAGTGAATGAGATTTACAAGGATTCTGTAATGATTTTTTTTATTCTCTACTACTAATTATATAACCATTTGCATAAATATTATTGCAGTGATGAAAACGTTTGTATAATGGTAAGGTCGTGTGGGCGAAGGAAAGTTTCACTGTTCAACGATAGAATTTTTTGATGATAAGTGATTAGAAATGTGCAACAAATTCAAGATAAGATCGTTGTATCAGAATTGTCAGAGGTGAGGCCGAAAAAATGTTAATCGTTCTTGGACAAAGGAACGTCGCAAGTGGGTGAGGAGATGGGTGAGCACAATTCAGAAAGATAACTCCACCCCATGTTCGGTTAATCTGACGTAGAAGCTACGTGACGTCATTTCAATGTACGCTGATGCGTAATAAGCACAACTGCCCTTGTCAACCAGAAAAGACTCCATTTAGGCAAGAATTTGAATATGAGAACCTTATTCATTTATCCATAGATATGAGAACAAACCGATTTTAAGATTATTGACCAATAACAAATGCAAATTAACATTCAAATGATATATCTTTATTGAAAATCTTCTATTATTGGACATTGTTTTCAAACCAGTGCGCCTCAGCGTATATTGGAATGATGTTTCACAACTTCTACATCAGATTGGCTACATTCAAGGGGAGCTACCTTTCTTTCTGGCTATCTGCTTGCCCATTCGTTTCATTCTGCTAAGCGCCTTTAAGCTAAAAAGTGCAAAAACGTGTGTCTACGAGCGTTTTTAAAATTGTAGGTTTTTTTTTAATTGGTAACTTGTATTGTTGCAAATGGTTCTCATCAGCTTGAAATTGTTGATCAATATGCTTTTGCGTTATTTATTCACTTTATTAGGAAATTTAGGTTTTAATCTCTAACGTATAAATTTAGTCATTTATTTATAGAGTTTTTGAACTACAATGGAGCTGATTACCGAAACGTTTTCATGAAGTAACTGTAAATTTTATTTGCATATATTTGCTTGTAAATTCGTGGTTAAATTTAGATTTATGAACCATAATGATCTTAACACTTTTATTAAGATGATTTGATAATAAATTGAGATAAAAAACTAGTTTCGACCATCAATTTGAAGTAACAATATTATTTTATCTAGCTGTATCGGCGAACAACAATGCAGACGACGACCCGACGAGTAAATCAGAAGCCAGTTTGTTGTCTCCAGCGAAGCGTGACGACGCTTCTCCTGAAGAGGAACACAAGGAGCCGAAAACTTCTGACCTTCCTGAAGCAGAGGAGCCTTCAAGCCCTGGGTCTTCCGTCAACAACAACAACGACGCCGAATATTTAGGTGCAAACAATAACAAATCGGCAAGAAACACGGCGGCCGCCGCTTCCAAAGCCTCAAAACTTAATAAATCAAAGCCTCCTGCGTGCAATAATAAGAGACCTAGGGATGAGAACGATTCAGATGAAGACTTTTATCCGTTATCTAAGAAAAAGGGCGGTAGGAATGCAAATAATCTTAAAAACAAAACAAATTCCCGCAAAGGAGCAGGTAACAAGTACAGGAACTCGGGTTCAGAAGCGCCTAGCAAAAAGCGTAAAATTGATGAGCAAGAAGAGACAACCTACGTGCTACCCGCTAATTTGTCTGAGTGGTGCAAGTTGTTCGATATGGTGCAGGGACAAATTAATAGCGGCCTCATTAAGAAGTCTGATGTGGCGGAAGCTCGGTCCTTATTGAAGCATCAAAATGATATTACTGAGCTTGCTTTGGAAGAACAAGTGCGAGTGTTCCACAGACTTTGTAGTCTTGCTAATATCCAAGTTGATTGAAACTAATCACTGCTTTGGTTATAGTTCACCAGATTATTTCTTGAAAATAAGCAAGCAGTGTAAGGCAAGAAAGTCCTCAGTACGTACCTGGCATTTCAGCGTTTTCCAATAAATTTGCTTTGTAAATAATAGTATTAACGCAGTAAGTAGGAATATTATAATTTTGTTCCTCATCTCGGCAGTGTTGCTTTTTCTTCTCTTTCCGCTTCGAGTTGTTTTGGTTTGTCTATTTGTTGTGACCTGCTTAGGTAACGCCACCAGTCGTGGTACAAATAATTTATGTATGCTATGTAAATTCACTAATCTAGATGTACGTACGACTGAATGATCAACGAGGGAATATTTTCAAATTTTTTATAATATACCTATCTACTGTATTTAGTAATTGTACAGCTGAAAGTATCGTAAGATTGTCGTATCCGATGTAGATCATGAAAAAGTATGAAAGTAATTGTAAAAGCATGAAAGTAATCTTTTCTTCAAAAAAATCTTTGTTCGGCATGCATAAATCTCTATGCACTGCAACAGTTTTATTTCTCGATTTAATTCCTATTATTTTCTTAATGAACTTGGAATGACACCATTGCATTTTATTTTCTGGACAGCACTAAGCACTTCATCTTTCACGATGTGCATTATTGAAAATATTACACCCTTGGCGATGGAACGGACATAAATAGAACATATGTCGTGTGGTTATCTCATGACGATCACCTTGTACACGTATCAAGTTTTTTGCCATGTAAGAGTAAGTCGAAGGCGTCTACATGCGCCCAGTTGTCTTTTGCCTAAATGCATCTAGCGGCGTGTGAAGAAGACAAGTATGGCACCACAGAACCTATGTGCTGGCATGACTTTTCAAGCAAACCTAATAAGTATTTATATTTTATTTGGATAGGATAGGAAATCATTAGTGGTAATGTGTTGGAGAGTACCTAAGGCATTAGTACCGGTTTGCCAGCTGTGCTGCAAAGTGACCGTAAGGCTCGGAATTTGAAATTTCGTTCTTGCAGAATACGTCAAATAAAATAACGGTGATCTAGCGTCTGCAAGAATTTTATATTTTTCTTAAAATGTTTCTGCTTCAGACTGAAAGTGTGGCAGTAACTGCTAGAAATATTTGCTGACATGTCTTATATAGGGCTAAATTAAACGGAACTACGATATAGGGTGTGGTACTAATGTGAAATTCATGTACCATGGAGTGCTTGGTTGCCAACATATTTGTTACATTTTACCGAGCGTTAGCGCGGAGTCGAGCAAACTACCGGCCTGTAAACATCAAGCGAATGAAGCTTCGCAGTCCGGTTCCGCAACTTTTGCATCACTCTAGTGCCTTGTATTGAACTAATTCCCTAAAGTCTAACGCTTTCTGTAAAAAAATGAGGGCTTCATGAAAAAGTGAGCATCGGATGAAAATTCAGTCGCATTCGCCAGGTTTTGACATGCAGAATGTTTTTCGTACGGAAATGATGTCAACTTCTATCCTCATATGACTGACTATCGATAAGTTGATATATTATTTATTTTGATGTGCGCATTATTGGCAAAGGTCGGCGTTGCCGTCTCGAGTTTTCTTACTCTCAATTTGACTGGCGCTACGTAATTTCATTTGCCCATGCCAGGCCACGTAATATTGTACTTCAGTGAGATTTTCCCGACTGCATGTACAAGTAGCAGTACATAAAATTCCGCCATGTGCCTCCAAAATCACTTTTACATTCAGAGATCCGACTAAAGCCTTCTAAACTAGGGTTCCCTGATAACTCTTGTCGATTAGTGACATAAATTATATTATTTTCTTAGGTCTGCAATTGGCTCCTTCGTTCAGAGCGGTATTCGCCATACATATTATCAAATCAAAGTTCAGCGGCCAGTCCTGCTGTCCGTTTATTCTCACGGGTTTTCTGAGCAGATACGTGAATAGTGTGCGTATTTTGTACGTTTATTAAGAAACCTTGGCCTCCATTAGGTCGCCTTCGCGTCCAATTTTCAGGTTGTACATTTCGCACGCTTGCCATGCTTCTTATTCATTCGTTTGATCATAGAATCATCTTGGCTTGTATTATAAGAGTTTGCGAATTAAACTATGAATAATGAATAAATCGTGCTGTTTTTTTTACCTTGTCATTTGGATCGTGCGAGAATTTCGTACGTTGATCGCACATGTAATGGATGACGTACACACAAGTAATGGATGACGTACACACAAGTAATGGATGACGTACGCACAAGTAATGGATGACGTACTGTAATGGATGACCTACACACAAGTAATGGATGACGTACACAATGGATGACGTACACAATGGATGACGTACACACAAGTAATGGATGACGTACACACAAGTAATGGATGACGTACACACAAGTAATGGATGACGTACACACAAGTAATGGATGACGTACACACAAGAAAGCATCTCTCTCCGCACATCGTGAGCGTACTGATCAATATTGCGGAGTATTAAGACAGATTTATTTTATAGGTCATAATATAAAAGGGGTAACAACATTCAAAACATCAAAACAAAATGCCAGCTTCAGCTTCTTGTGGAAGAGTCGTGGTCACCCCGTGCCTGGAAATAATGCATGAGATGCGAATCATGAATCCGCAGATAAAGAATTTAGACTCATTTATGAAATTCGTTCTATTTTGCAGAAATTATTAACGAAACTATGAATATTTCAGATAAAAACTTCGTTAAGCCCAATGTCAGACGGCTGATGTATAGCATGAATAAAGTTTTAACATAAATTGACGGTAAACTTTCTTAGTCAAGATCTAAAATCAATGTTGAAATGCAGCCAGGAATACAACTATAATAAATGATGGTAAAAGACATCGAAATACAAGCCAACCAGGATGTCAGCACAGCACCTTGAACATCAGTGGTTCTCAATTCTCTTAACCTAATCACCGAATTTAACATGACACAATTCACAGGTTACCTCAAATACTAAAGTCAACATAGGTGTAAGTGGCTAAATAATTAATTAGATTCATTTCACTTCTCTATTACATCCAAACAATTGAAAATTCCCAGGACAGTTAATACGTACATTTTTATGGGCATTGGAGGAGTAACTGAAAAGTATTACAGAATCGAAAGAGAATGAATATGGAAGCAAGTGTGTGCGATGGATAACACGCCTTCAGAGAAATGAATAAGACTTTCTCCTAATATTGATATATGTACCTTATGCCTTCTGTGGGTCGTCCTAATAAAGTATGGCCCGGCAAAAGGACGTGTAAGTGTTACATCCGTTCTTTGGTAGTACCCTTGTTAAGAAAATTTTTGGATACTTTGGCAATGTGTCCCATTCATTTTCCTGTTTGTCTCTATGGTGGCTGGTTAAATTATGTAACAGAATATTTCAAGAGACCGCCACCAGACACATGACGTTGAAATAACGTTGATTAATGTTGTTTCAATGAAAACACATGGTAATCAACTGCGTTTCAACATCATTTACCACGATGGCCATGACTTACGAGTTGATCTAAGACGGGGGGGACTCTAAAGGAGGGGGCGCGGGGTTGGCAGCAGAGGGGGGCTTCACCAAGACAGAGTCGATGAGGCCTAAAGCTTTGGCCTCCTCAGCGTCCATGAACTTGTCCCGCTCCATCATGGCCGCTGCAACCACAAATATTGTCAGTAGAATCATTCAACATGTCCATACCGATAATGATAATTTTTTTCATTATAATTATTATAATCATTGTCACAAATCATCAGAATAATTACATAATTGTGTATTATTAGGTTGATATGCTTCTAAATTAATATGTAAAACATTCAATACATAAATAATTGAATTCTATAATAATTTAAAATGATTAGGAAATTAATTAAGTCGAAGTGATGCACGAAAGTGAACGGTCGCAAAATTAATTCAAAATGATGCAACACTCAAGCAAAATAAGATGGCAGGAGACACGAGCAGCAGTTACAGGAGACACGAGCAGCAGCTACAGGAGACACGAGCAGCAGTTACAGGAGACACGAGCAGCAGTTACAGGAGACACGAGCAGCAGTTACAACTCACAGAGTTTCTCGATGGGCTGGCCGGTGTGCTTAGAATATATGGCGTTTAGTCTAGATTTTAGTCTTAAAATTTCTTCAGCTTGAATTTGAATGTCGGTAGCTTGACCCTGAAAAAAAGATAGACATAATTATTACTAGAACCAGGGGAATACTTTGACATAAAAAGCAAAGAATAATAATAAAATATTAATAAATAAGATTTGAAGCGGAATACTTAGGATCCCGGCGGAGGTTTCGTCTGGGTTTAGTAGGAGGGTATCGGAGAATCAGCTCCTTCGGTTGAAGCTTTAGTTGGGACACTCGACCATCATGCGAAGCACAGTCAATAAGAAAATTGTTACCGTAAGGCATTGGGCGGCGTTCTACTAAGAATCTGTGGGTGAGGCGTGTGTGGCCAATCATTAGCCTACACAGAGCCACTTCCATGCGACGTGATCTCTGATAAGAAAAGTTCCAGGCTCGTACAGTCCTTCATGGCTCGTATCTTGTTTCCTCCAACATTTTGCCATTGATCTTGCCATACCCTACGAATGCTTGCTTAGATTATGGGGTAGTAGTGGCGGCTTGGGACTTCTTCATTGAAGAACGCCATGTTAGACGTTGCCGCGTTGACTTACTGCTGCCTAGTCTGCTTTTTCTGTTCCCGCGCAACCCAACGCGGCCAGGCACCCAGCAGATGTGCACCGCAATCCCCGTCGTTGCCATCTCTCGGTCTCGCCAGGATATCCATGATGATGGGGTGCTTGTTATTGTACATTCTCAATGCTTGTACTACGCTTTTAGAGTTGGTGAATAGGAGTGAAGTTATCTCATTGTAGGTCCTCGATGAGAGTCAGGGTGCTAAGCACTCCGAGGAGTTTTGCGGTGAAGATCGATGGGTGAGGATTGAGTGTTCTTGAGATCGCTGTGGCACCGGACATAACCGCATATCCCACTGCGTCATCTGATTTGAAGCACCTGTATAGGTGTGCGTTGATTCTGAATGTTACATGGATAGGTGGTTTAGGAACAGATTTTCCAGTGCTGTCCGACGTCTTGTGGGTTTTTGTGGGTGGTACATCTGTGCTGCTTCCAATAATGTTTCGTAGTCGTCCGAGGATGGTATGATATCTGAGAGTAGATTTGCTTGCATCGGCCACTATGCTATGCCAAGTTGGGGATTGGGGTAGTTGTTTGAGGCAGGTTATTATTGCTTAAAAGTGGGAGCATGAGTTATGCTCTGCGTAGGTAGAGTGGCAGTTCATTCTAAGTGTTGCAGTGATCAGTTATCAACTAATTTCTACAATATTTTTCGTACACAGCTAGTCAGGGCGATTGGACGGCAGCTGGATGCTTCTGACGCGGGTTTACCGTGCTTAGGAAAGCTATAACAGTGGCTGTTCGCCATTGTGTTGAATATGAGGTTCAAATTTTGTTGTAAATGGCAAGCAGGGCCGTGATCGCTTTAGAGTACATCCTCTTTAATATATTGTAGTGGATGCCAACTGGTCCGGGGCTGGTTGTTCTTTTTGCATTGATGCAATGTATTAAAGATTTCCAAGTGTGTGATCAAATCGTTGTACGAGGATTGGTGGTCTGTTTTAAAATTAAGATGTTATTGTTCGTGCAAATGTGAGCAACACAACCAATGCAATCAACTGACGGCTTCTCTATAATTTTAGTTGCCAAAACCCAATGTAAAACTAAAACTAATGCAAGCTACTGACGGATGCTCCTCCATGGGGCTGGTGAGTCATGATGCGTGCATGTGGCAGGGCATGGCGCATGCCGGGGCTGCCCGCCGCCAGGAGCAGAGATGCCATGGAGCACGCCTGCCCCACGCACCAGGTCGCCACGGGGGGCTGGATGTACTGCATCGTATCGTAGATACCGAGACCTGACGTCACCACACCACCAGGACTGCCGGTAACAGATAGACGTTCAGAGAGTCATTCCCTGTGACCAATACAAAGCTTGTACACACGGACAATAGTGGCGGCCAGTATAACTTTGAACAACAGTTAGTAACGTCATATCATGAAGCCAATAGCAAGATTAATAGTTGAAAGTTGGACTGGTCGTTACTTCTGACTTCACGTACAAGCAGCACCTCAGTCTCTAACCACATTCTAGCTTTTTTATTTAATATAGTACTTCAACATTTCAATAATAAATGAAGACACCATCAAAATCTGATATTTTCCAAATTATTTAATAAAGAAGTGTTAGCACTTGACTATCAATTATTCAAGTTACCTGTTAATGTACATGTGAACAGGCTTCTTGGCGCTCTCAGACTGAAGGAATAGCAGCTGAGCAATAACCAAGCTGGCTACATGGTCGTCAATCTGGAAAAATGGAAGCTCGTTACAGAAAATTCATGGATAATATCATTCATGAGATACCATTCTATCGTTTTTCATGACAATTAATTGACAAATCATGCATATGCGTAAGATCATGAAGCATTTATATACTTTCATCAGAGCAACACTCCCTCGCTTACAGCCTTCAGCCCATAAATAGCCTTGTGTGGTCTGCTCCATTGTACGGAGTATAGAGTGATGCTACCAAGCTGTTCTCCACCAGCTTGCAATACACATAATTAATCTTTAGCAAATTGGGTCTAGAGACCTACACTTTTCTAGGTTAAGATGCTTCATGTGCCAAATCCCATTCTGTAGTGTTGGTTTTGGAACCCAAGTTGATCATTGCTTAGGCTCTAATAGAAACTACTGATTTTCCATGATATTTAGTACCCCGGTCTGCATTCTATTATCTTTAATTCAGTCACCCTAAGATTTGTATTACCGTACTATTTATGTATGTCATTGCATAGTTAAATATGCACTGAGGACTAGGAAAGTATGGCAATCAATCTCAATAAGTAACACTCACATATACCGTACAACTCAATATATGCAAGAAAAAATATATCCCTTATATTTATGAAGACACATAGTACAAATTTTCAAATATGTATGGAGAATATCACTCCTGTTTATTAACCTAAAACTGAATTAAAAATTAAACTTACAGGTCCCATGATGCAGATGATTCTTTCCTTGAGGAGTCGAGAGAAGATATCGTATGCACGCTCACCTCTGCCAGTTTGCTCTATGACAATGGGAACCATGCCCAGCTGTCGCTGAGCCACCACTTGTCTGAGACATGAAGCGCCAGGTTGAATTAAGCTCCTAGCCTGTGGAAACAAAACTTGTCACACATTTTTGTATCAGATGCTCAAAGTTAACTCATTAAGTGGAGCAGCAGGTACATTATTAATTACCTGATGCAATTATTGACTTCATTTAAGTAAATATTAATGAGTAGGTATTCTTATTCAAGTTGGCTCTGAATATAAAATTCTTGTATCAAGTTGATAATTAAAAAACACACTAAGACATGAAGCAAAAAGTAGTCTTTAAATTGTCAAATTAATTCATCTGACTAAAACATGTCATAAAGAAAGGCCACTCCTAATATTAAATAATTGAAGCTAACATTGCAATTTTATGTCTCATTAATAAATTAGGAAACAAATTTGGAGTTAAAATATAAGTTGGAGTTGAATTCACATACCTACAGTGGGGGGAAATAAATATTCGTACACTTGAAAAATCGTATTTTAATGTATGTAAGTACACAAACTTAACAGGAAAAGTGATTTAAATTATGTATAGAGACGCATAGTATTCAAAAATACTATCAAAAGAAATTAAATCTCAATGCAACAAAAAACTGTACACGTTATGGAATGGCCAAGCCAGTCGCCGGACTTAAATCCGATTGAAAATTTATGGCGGTATTTGAAGATTCAAATTAAGAAAAGGTCCCCAACAAACATTGAGAATCTTAAGGTGGTGTGCCAAGAAGAATGGTATAAAATACCAGTCAGCATCTGCAAATCATTGGTCGAGACGTATAGAAATAGACTGGTATCTGTTGAGCTGAATAAAGGGTATTCAACCAAGTATTAAATTAAAATAATGCGGATCTATTGTTTTGTACGAATACTTTTTTCACCCGAAAAGTGAACATGTTGCATTGTTTTTTGTTGCATTGAGATTTAATTTCTTTTGATAGTATTTTTGAATACTATGCGTCTCTATACATAATTTAAATCACTTTTCCTGTTAAGTTTGTGTACTTACATACATTAAAATACGATTTTTCAAGTGTATGAATATTTATTTCCCCCCACTGTATGTATCTTGAAGGATAAACATGATATTTTTACAAATAAAAGTGCACACTTTGAAATAACTATATCAATTAAAACATTCATAAAATTTATTAAATTAAATTAACTCACCAATTTTATTTTTGATCCAAGAATAATCATACCGTATCTCAAATGTTAATTTTATAAAAATCTCAAAATCTGCAAATATAAGTAACAACAAATTTAGTTATAATAACAAGAGTAATATTACTATGTCTTACTATAACACCATTATTCATGATAAATATATAAAATATATTTGAACTTCTGAGAGCTAAAGCTTTTACAAGATCATTTAGCTTTAAATGTTACAGACTTCACATGGCAAATCTCGAAATAATATAGAAATACACAGAAAAGACTATAAAACCATTATAAAACATTAAACTTTCTAAAATATGATGAAAAAATGACAAACATCAAGGTTGACAGCAGGATTAGCATAATCCTTATGCAAATTTGGAGATTCAAGCAAGATGAATCATCTCCTACCTAATTATTAACAAGAATGCGTGATCAAGCCACAAAATTCTTAAGTTATCAATACATGTCACTTGGGTTGTTGAATTTGCAATATCAGCATTAAGTAACGAATTTCCGGTCTTGACTATCATCAATCACATAGTTATAAGCTGACCCTAAGCAGCAACTCCATTCAACTTGACACTCATGAATGAAAGCTGTATAATATTGGGGAAAATTATGATTTTTAGGGTTCCATTAACACATAATAACTCAGAAGCTTTTTTCATTGTGTTAGAAACCAGAAACTAGGCTCAGTTTTGTTAACAAAATAGATTGCTGTTATTGAAGGCCAACAACTTGGCTTGGCATTTATGGCTTAATATATCTATCTTAGCCCATTAATGCCAAGAATTATTTTCTGACCTTTCTTTGATTCCTTGTGAGAATAACATCATTTGAGATGGTAATAAATAGAAAATATGTTCATATATTTATTTTTTGCTGTATGTGAAAAATTATAGCTTGGTTCCATTTGGAACCACTCGGCATTAAAATAATGTTTCTTCAAACAACACTTTTTCTAATAGTAAATCAAGCAAGGTTTTTCATAATGGATAATATGTAATATAAGTATTCATAATAGACAATATATATATAGTACTGATGATAAACCAATCATGCTAGAATACAATTTAATTTTTAGCATGGAATGCTTCCATTCATTCAGAATGAATAGGAAGGTTGCCCATTTTATGAATGTTTGTGGGTGCATTGTCCACATTGTTTGTATATGCAGTGCTGCTGATGTCTCTTCGCTGGCCGATGTTTTTGATTGTTGTATTGCACTTCATCAAGGATTGAAGTAGGAGGGTGCAATATAGAGTATAGACCCTGATTGTGTTATTTAGGGTCTCCTGCATTATTGCTTTTCCTAACTGATCTTTTCAAAAAGTCATTGCATTTACCATTTTTTTCAAGTTTTTTTGAGAAGCCAAATTAAACCAAAATTGATATGACATATAATATGTTAGGGCCTGGGACTAATTGTACGGTATCATGTTTATGGGACCAATCCATGTTCCAGCCCATGAATAAGTTTCTTTTTCTATTAGATCCGCTGATTGGCTTCAATTGCAGAAAAATATCATCTGATTCATCTGCTGCCCAAAGTTTATAACTAAATCTCACAGGCTAGCCACGTATATGTCGTAGCATGAGGTGGCTATGTCGACCACAGTTGACTTTCTTCTCTGTCGATAGTCATTGTTTTCACATTTGGTGATTACTGTTGCTACAATGACTATTCTTGATAGGCAAGCAGAATTGCTAGTGGCTGCATCATCTGAGTTATCTGAATCTGTCTGTTTCGTTTGTTGCTGCTTCTGTGAAAGGTTTAATAGCAAATATTTGATCTTTGTGCTACTCTTCTTTTGAAATCTTAATTATTTCAAATGATGATCTGCCATAATACAATTAAAAAAAAGTGGCTTGGGATGAAAAATTGTATAGTGTTCAACGAACCTTCTTCCTAACATTTCAACTTTTGGGTTATATACTCTTAACAGATCTAAATATAATAGTTCACTAATAAATGATATAAAAACTGTAGATCTAAGATCTAAATAAATAATTTCTAAATCCAAAAAAATTCTTTAAATACAATGCGTAGTAACTACTATATCACAAAGTAATCAACTGGGAAAATGTAATGACCAGAATGCTTACACTACTGCCAAGTGGTTCCATATGGAACCAGGCAAAATATTTCATGATCTAAATGACTTAAGATACATTATATCACGTAATACCATATACAGAAATCAAAGTACTCTCTTTATCAATAAAATTCTGCATCTAACTTATAAATAATATATTTTTAGAATGAACTACTTACCTTTCTCTGCAATGATGTCAAGCCCTCCTGTCTGACACCCAGTAGTCTACTTACAATCTTTTAATGTTAACTGAGCAGTGAGTAGTTGGCGCAGCAGAACCAAACATTGCCAGAACATGTAAAAGATGTGTATCAAACCTAAGCATCCTTTTGTATATTGATTTGACTATACAATTTTATTATGAATCCATTTTTTCTGCTGGTTCTAAATGGAACCACTTGCCATTAACACGTTCCCCGCGTATCCAGATTTCCCCAGTATTCCCTAATTGCGGAAGGCTTTCAGTGGTTGCTGCTTCAATTGAGAGAGGAATGAAAGAGAAGGAATGAAAGAGAAGGAATGAAAGAGAAGGAATGAAAGAGAAGGAATGAAAGAGAAGGAATGAAAGAGAAGGAATGAAAGAAGGAATGAAAGAGAAGGCAATAAAAGGCAATAGCAGAGAACAAGAGGGAATAGATGGGAACAGAAGGGAATAAAAGGGAATTATGACACATATGGCCCAATACGCGGGGAACGTGTTAATGGGTTAAGATAGGTATATATACTAACTTTCAAACCACTACCAGTGCTTTCCCACCATTTTCATTTCAGAGCCATAAGATTCCTGCTAGATATATTATCTCCCAGTCCCATCTAATTCTAAATGAATGTACAATTGTGCATTAGTAGGCTGCAAGATTTCAAATGTATAAAAAATTTGGCACTTTGGTCAGCCATGAGATTTCACACACAAGTAGGAAATTTCCAATCCTCTGCAATCCTGCAGGCTTGCAGTTGCAGCAACATAATCATAAATGCTGGGACAATGTGAGTGCCAGAGGCAGAGTGGCATAAATCATTGACCTCAGGGGCCAAGTCAGGACAGGAGTGCAACTGTGCACACTGCACATGACCTGCCGGCTGCCGGCAGCGGCAGGTGGCGCCAGCATAGGACTCTCATTCTGCTTCTGCGTTCTGCGTGATTCTGGGAGTGGGAGACTGACACTGCATCTGCAAGTGTGCAAGAAAAACATTAGATACATTATCTCATAAAAAACCTGAGATTGAAAATGTAATGGAATTAAAAAAATTATCTGACAAGACTTTTACAAAATAGTAGTCACTAGTTACATCTTGTGATCTTGATCATAATGACCTTTTTGAATTTGATGTAGGTCGTAGGATTACGATTACGATTACGGTGATTACCTAAGATAAATTCCTGTATTTCCTACTCCAGGAAAAAACCTTTGCTGACTAATTGTAACAAACTATGACTATAGTATCGTCTATCTCTATTCATTAAAGATTAAACACCATCAGCATTTCCTATGACAAAATGATCATTGATCAGTTCAAATCATTCAGCAAGATACTTCAATACTTGACCACGTCGACGTCGCCACTCGCTGCAAGCGAGAAACTTGTCAGATTAATTCAACAAAGATAAAAATCTATCATAAATATAACTATAAACCTTTACCAACTCAAAATAAACAAAAAATAGTATCGTATGTGAAATTACGAAATACGCCCAAGTCCTAACCGGCGGCCGGCGGGTGGAGTGGGCCTTGGAGCATTGGATACCGTATGTTTGTTTATATAAGACCAGCTGTCCGTCCGACATTTATGAGCATATGTAAATAAAGTCCATTCATTTTAATTTTATACATTTTTGCAATTTTTTCTCTCATCATGTTAGAATTTTGACAGTAATATGAAATAGACAAAAAGTTACATTGAATGACTAATAAAATAGCGAGAAGAAGAAAGAAATCATTTTCACAGAATCATAGGACGACTACTAAATTTGTATCACCACCGTAGTAATTACTTCTGCTTAAGGTATGAAACGAGTAATAAATCATAATATTAAAGATGTTCTAGGTCCACAGAGTGGTCTATTTTTTACTATCGTGCCCTAAAATCAGGGCCTGACAATTTAGTCACGAAACTTCCTGGTTTACGCGAGTCAATCATCGAACCACAGGAGTTATTTTTGACCCGGAAGGTCTTCGAAGTTATTTTCGTGACATCATTAATAACATTTCGTGCTTTAACTGCTGTCTTGGAGACGTGCTGACAAATGTCGTACTTTATGACACCTTATAAATGAGGACACGCGATGGTTAGACATCAGAAGGTAGGAATTTAAAATCACGTTAGCAACAGAGAGCGCGTCGAAAATAGCAACTTTGCTCCTATGGTGCTCCATCAATGACAGGTGTGTTTGAACTGCAAGAGATTATCAATGTCGTGACCTATACGATAATGAGGATAAATTACCTGTTTTTGAGAGGCGTGACTTTTTTTTCTAGCTTGATCATGATTTTCACAAATAAAGGCGTATTCATATATCGCATAGTTTGTTGTGTGAAGAACATCCATCTGCTGAATGTCTTACACTCTGTAGACATCTTTCATATTTATGACAATTATTAGCATTTTAGACGCAGAATTATTGAAAATTACAAACTTGCTCTCGCTTTAAATTCTGTTTGAGATAAACTTAGATTTGTCAGAGTAAAACCGCCCTCCTCTGAATTTCAAAGTTGTTGATATTTCTAATACTGGAGGGCAGACCCGGAGATGGTGGTGAGTCAGATGGTGGTGAGTCAGCTGGTGGTGAGTCAGATGATGGTGAGTTAGATGGTGGTGAGTCAGATGGTGGTGAGTCAGATGGTGGTGAGTTAGATGATGGTGAGTCAGATGGTGGTGAGTCAGATGGTTGTGAGTCAGATGGTGGTGTCAGATGATGGTGAGTCAGATGGTGGTGAGTTGATAATGGTGAGTTAGATGATGATGAGTCAGATGGTGGTGA